GTCCGTCCGTGAATCATTCCATCCGTGCATCTGTCCTTACATGTATCCGTTTGTCCGTACGTCCGTAAATTACCACCGCGACAACACTCACACACTGCGAGTGATCTTCCGAACTCAACAAGCGAACACATCACAACAAGGTCCCATAGACTCTGTATAAATAAACTAGACCAGACACCATTTAAAAAAAACCACACTCCCTCCTCCCTCCTCTACCACACCCCCTCCCTACCGCCCCCCCCTCCCTCCATGACTGTCTTTCAGCGTCACCACAACAAAACATATCAAAACATTTCATCATAACATACAAAAAAAAAAAATTGAGATGCAATAATATACCCAGATTTTCCATACACACCCACGTACACACACACACGTACACACTCACACACACGCACACGCACTCACTCACACGCACACACACACGCACGTACACACACACGTACAAAAATATACCTGTACTGTTACCTCTCACGTATTTTTTTCCCCCACCAACCCTGAACTGAATCTAACGAATCACTGACGCTGACAAAAAAAAAACAACAACAGAATGCGGGACGGAAAAGGCAGAGAGGAATAGAGAAGAGAAGGGTGTTAGGGGAGAGGGTGATGTAGGTAGACCTGATCCCTCTCCTCGGCCCACACCTGGACAGGAAGGTGACACTTGTAAACAAAGCCATTTTGGAGAGAGAGAGAGAGAGAGAGAGGTCATCTGTCAGCCCTCCTCCCTACACCTCTTGTATTGTTGTCATATTATATCATGTCGTTTATCATCAGTGTGTTAAGATAGGGTGAGGTGATTGGTGTGTTGGTTCGTGTTGTTTACTGTTTGTTGTTGCTGTTTACGGTTTGTTTGATTGTATATTATTGTTTGTTATTGTTGTTGTTTCCTGTGTTGTTGTTGTTGTTGTTTACTCTTCGTGTTGTTGTTTGTTGTGCTGTTTACTGTTTGTTGTTGATGTTGTTTGTGTGCCAATTGTGTTTATATGTCTCGGTATTTTTAGTTCTGACATACATACAGACAGACACAAACTCATATATATATATACTCGTGCACACACACACACACACACACATGACACACACACACACACAATAGACCCAAAGCACAAAAAACATGCAGGATTATTGAGACAGATTCAGAGCCAGATGAACATCGAGACCGAATGATATTGAACATCGAGGTGTGATGTCTGCTCAGGTCACCAGATACTCTAGCCAATTGGGGGTCAGGGGGGGTAGATGGGAAGGTGTCAGAGAATATAAATGTATTAAGGTAAGGGTGGATGTAGTGCGTGTGTGTGGATGTAGTGTGTGTGTGTGTGGATGTAGTGTGTGTGTATGTGGATGTAGTGTGTGTGTGTGTGTGTGTGGATGTAGTGTGTATGAAATAAATGATGAATAATTACACAAGGAACGAAAGATAAGAAATGAAGAATAAAGCAAGAATCAGATAAAAGTAAAAATACACACGAAAAAGAAGAACAACAACAACAACAACAAGAACAAGAACAAGAAGACAGAAAAATTTGGAAGGGAGAGAAAGAGATGCATAAAGTAAAGGGACAAAAATACGATAAAGCAGAGATAAGGCAGAAAAATGATGCATAGGAAAGATAAGTTAAAAAGGAAGAGAGACAAGGGGAAATGGAGAAGAAGGGAGGGAGAAGGTGGAGGAAGAAGAGGAAGAGATGTGTAAGAAGTATAAAGAAGATGAGGAGGAGACGAAGTATGAGAAAGGGAAGAGGAGTGGAGGAGAGAAAGAGAGAGAGAGGGCAGGAAACCTCTCTTCTCCTCCACGCCATGTCCTTTGATCTTCACTAAGGACGCGGGCTAGGGCTAGGGCTAGGGCTAGGGTGGACTCCTGTATATACATAATTTAGCTGTAGTCTCTGGGTAAGTCATTGAACTTTATCCTCTTACACACACACACACACACACACACACACACACACACACACAAATACTCATTCGTGACGTCATTTCCGGATATAGATTTTATAACAAAGTCGTTTACTATATATAAAGTAAAATCTCGCCGTATCATACAGTTCGTGACTCCTTAACCGGCTGTAGTGTTGTCATTTTTTCATAACCCGGAATTACTGTAGTGTCGGGTAGGTTCGGGTTACATCCAAGGTCGTGTTGGATATTTGGCAAACATTCTCAAGTGTTGTTCTTGAAGGTGTTTATTGGGTTTCCGCGCCACTTCATATCTGTCTGTGGCCGCCTTGATGGATGGACGTGTGTGTGTGTGTGGTCATCCTCCTTCTACCTCCTTCATCCTCCTTCTACCTCCTTCATCCTCCTTCTATCTCCCTCATCCTCCTTCTACCTCCCCCATCCTATTTCTACCTCCCTCATCCTCCTTCTACCTCCTTCATCCTACTTCTACCTCCTCCCTCCACCTCCCTCATCCTCCTTCTACCCACCTTCTCCTACCTACTACTACTACTACTACTACTACTACTACATCTTACATATCAACAGACAGACAGACACACACAGAACCGATTGCTAGACACCCTCACCAAGACCCCGAGTTAGTTCAGTGTTGAGTCAATGTTTAAACTCAGTTGTGATCTGCTTCCATTATACAAGGTGAAGTACTGACTGCCTCTGTCCTCCAGCGTTGTACAGTGGACGGGCAAAAACAGGCTCAACTGACTACAATATCCCCACACTAAATAAACACTCCCAACTGCATGACAGACAGACAGACAGACAGATTGATAGACACATAGAGAGATAAATAGACACACATAGACAGATATAGACAGAAAGACAGACAGACAGACATAGACAAACAAATACATACATATCTCACACACACGCAAACACTGACAGACAGACAGACAGACAGAAGCGACCGCAATATCCGTTTACTATCACCAATATAAAGTAAATATTGACAGGTGCATGACAGCCAACCACTGTAAGAGGGTGATGGTCAGGCGTCATGCTAGGGGTTAGTTCAAGTGGATGACTGTCATGTGTGTCACTCACTGATCATCAAGGCTGGTCACTCACTCACTGATCATCAAGGCTGGTCACTCACTTACTCACTGATCGTCAAGGCTGGTCATTCACTCACTGATCGTCAAGGATGGTCACTCACTCACCACCGATCGTCAAGGCTGGTCACCACTACCGATCGTCAAGGCTGGTCACTCACTGATCGTCAAGGCTGGTCACCACTGACGTCAAGGATGGTCACTCTCACACGTCGGATGGTCACCACCAGATCGTCAAGGATGGTCACCACTTGGTAACTCACTGATCATCAAGGATGGTCACTCACTCCTGATTCACTCACTGATGTGTGTATCACCACTGATCTCAGGATGGTCACTCACCACTGATCGTCATGATGGTCACTCAAGATTGTGATGGTCCACTCACTGATCGTCAAGGATGGTCACCACTCACTGATCGTCAAGGATGGTCACTCACTCACCACTGATCGTCAAGGATGGTCACTCCACTCACTGATCGTCAAGGATGGTCACCACCACTGATGAGATCGTCAGGATGGTCACCACTCACTGATCATCGATGGTCACTCACCACTGATCTCAGGATGGTCACTCACTCACTGATCATCAAGGATGGTCACCACCACCACTGATCGTCAAGGCGATGGTCCTCCTCACTGATCGTCAAGGATGGTCACTCACTCCTCACTGATCGTCCAAGGCTGGTGCTACTTTACTCACTGATCGTCAGGGCTGGTCACTCCTTACTCACTGATCATCCAAGGTGGTCACTCACTCACTCACTGATCGTCCAAGGCTGGTCCACTCCTCACGCAGTGTCAAAGGCTGGTCACTCACTGATCATCAAGGCTGGTCACTCACTCACTGATCATCAAGGCTGGTCACTCACTTACTCACTGATCGTCAAGGCTGGTCATTCACTCACTCATTCACTAATCGTCAAGGCTGATGTGAGTGTGGTTGCCTGGAGGGGTTGTTTCGTGGTCATTAGCTTGGTTGATGATGATGATGATGAAGGTAGTGATGATGATGATGATGACTGTTACAAGAATATCCACCACGTCATTCACCATTACAGGGAACAGGATGTCTAGTCACCATTCGAAGATTTGAAAATATGATACGAACCAAACGTGAAGCTTTACACGGGTCATAAAACTTTGAGGCTTCGAAGCGGCATAAACAAGGTGACTCATTTAGGTGATTTAACCCTTTGAGGACGATGATTTAACCCTTTGAGGACGGTGATTTAACCCTTTGAGGACGCTGATTTAACCCTTTGATGACGATGATTTAACCCTTTGAGGACGCTGATTTAACCCTTTGAGGACGCTGGTTTAACCCCATGAAGACGATGATTTAACCCTTTGAGGACAATGATTTAACCCTTTGAGAACGCTGGTTTAACCCCCATGAGGACGATGATTTAACCCTTTGAGGACGATGATTTAACCCTTTGAGGACGTTGATTTAACCCTTTGAGAAGAATGACCTCACTCTTCCCTCCTGAAGGGTTTAAAAGCGTGTTACCAAAATCACCATAAATTTACATACGCAAATTTCTCGCCATTAAAGAAATCAATTAGTGCCATTAATAAAACATTGTCACCTTAGTCGTCCATATGACATTGTTTTCCCCATTTCGACTTTTTTTTTATATAATACAACTTTGTTTTGGTATTTGAATCCGGATACGTATATATTGAAGTGTCTATATTGGGATGTACAGTAGGCTGTCAATGGTTCACTCACTCACAACATGAAGCAGTATCGACCCCAAATGAGTCACAACAACACACCAGCACCAGATGATAGTCAGGGTGAGTCATTTCAGAGACTCATTCATGTGACTCAGTTTCACCACCAAGAGCCAACCTTTGTCCTCCACGAAAGGTGATAATGGGGACTTAATTAGGAACAATAAATCTCCAAAAAATAATCATACGTGTTGATCTACAGGTAAGAAGATGACATTAATTAACCTGAGTTGTCTGGTGTCAACAGGTTCCACGTCCATCTGGCTGACTGTCACCTTCACCATTGAACGGTACATCGCCGTGTGTCACCCCATCAAGGGCAAGGTAAGTCATGGTCACCTGAGTGTACCTGTACCTTTACCGCCCACCGATGTACAGTACCAGAGAAGAAATAAAATACACACACACACACACACACACACACACACACACACTCACAGTATGCCGGAAGATGTAAATAAATAAGACATACACACCCCCAAAAATCTTTATATTCTACAACACAACAACTTCCCTCCTCTTACCCTCCTCTCCCCCACGTTCTTCCTTCCATCCTTCACCCACTATCAAAAAATATAATCAATATATTCAGAATAGAACTGAAGCAAGACGATGATAAACTCATAATTATATACCTAATTATTATAAGATTTCAGTACATTATAATTTAGTTCATATGATGCCTTATACAACGAAACCTCCATCTAACGGATTATATGGAGAGAAGTCCGTTATATGGAGGTTTCACTGTATTGCTATTTATGTGTATTTGAAGGTATAATTCACCTGTAATCAGAACTGTATTCACCTGCAATCAGTACACGTATATCCAACTGAGGTCTGGCTGGGTGCTGGGAAATTTGAAACCTGTTGAAACACGTAGCAGACATGTTAACGAGCTTAGGAGAAGGGAGGGAAGCAATAATGAGAGGAAGGGGAGAGATACAGAGGGAAAGAGGAAGGAAGATGAGAGGAAGTGAGTAGGAGGGGTGAGAGGAAGGGAGAAGGAGGGGTGAGTGAGGAAAAGGAAGGAGGAGGGAGGAGGGGTAAGTGTAAGGAATGAAAAGGGTGTAGAAGTGAGAGGAAGGGAGGAAGGAGAAGAGGGGAAGGAAGAAGGGTGGAGTGGCGAGACGAAGGGAAGAGGAGGAAGAAAGGAGAAGGGAGAAGGCGCAAGAGGAAGGAAGGGAGGAGGGCGTAGAGGTCAGGAAATAGGTACTGTTCCCAGAAAGTGTGAGAGGTCAGTAACTTGTTTCCTTCAACTCAGAATATAACATCAAACTGTGGAGGCCGCTTTGTGACGTCATCTTCACTTTAATGGGGTCATGGTGATTCTTTTGGCTCAGGTCATGTGGCGTCATGGGTTATGTGGGGTCATTGTAGGGTCATTTGGTGTCAGCAGGGTCATTCTGGGTCATGGCAGGTCATTCTGGGTCATGGTATGTCACGTTGGGTCATGTCAGGTCATTCTAGTTCATGGTATGTCACGTTGGGTCATGGCAGGTCATTCTGGGTCATGGCAGGTCATTCTAGTTCATGGTATGTCACGTTGGGTCATGTCAGGTCATTCTGGGTCATGGTATGTCACGTTGGGTCATGGCAGGTCATTCTGGGTCATGGCAGGTCATTCTGGGTCATGGTATGTCACGTTGGGTCATGTCAGGTCATTCTGGGTCATGGTATGTCACGTTGGGTCATGTCAGGTCATTCTGGGTCATGGTACCTCCTTTCTAACTCTCCATTACCTACATCGCTCACCTTCTGCTACTTCGTCAGGTGTTCTGTACGGAGAGTCGGGCCAAGAGGGTGATCGTGGCGGTGTTCATCCTCTGCTTCGCCCTGACAGCGACCACCCCGCACGAGTGGGTCATCAACGAGGTGACCGACGCCACTGGACAGGCCAGGCTAGTGATGAACTACTCCGTCCTCGGCAGCAACGCCACCTATAAGAAGGTAAGATGAGTATTGGCTAGTGGTGGTGCTAGTTGTTCACCCACCCAGTGCTAGTAGATCCCAGTCTTACTTGGCCCAAGTCCTATCAGACCCCAAGTTCTAGTAGCTCTAAGCTTTACTAGGCCCCAGGCTCTACTCTTACTATACCCCAGTCGTACCAGGCCCCAGTCCTATCCTAACCTAACCTAACCTAGACGTTTATGAGAAGCCTGGCGATTGGTAAAAGACGATCGAAATTAAATATGTAACTAAATTATATTGACAAAAATAATAATTGAAATGACTTGTAACTTATCATTGAAAGAACAAAAAGTAATTAAATCAATCACATAGAAAAAATCATTAGGCCAAAAAAGATAAGTTATGCCTAAAAAAAAAAAGAAAATTGAATCATAGAAAACAAAAACAAACCTCAGTCAAGGGGATACCATTTTTTTTCTCATAATCTTGGCAAGATATTTCCCCCCTCCCCGGGACACCCACTTGAGGATAAATTCAAGGGCCTCATCACCCAGGCACGCTCACTCTGACGGAAAGTGAGGAAAGAAATTGGCGTAAGAATCTCCTTTTAGCGACAGTGAAAAGGTCACAGGGAAGAGAGCCTTTAAAAAAACTTCCGGAAATTCAATCAAATCCGTCGCTATTGATGACCCGGGACAAGAGAGGGTAATTGAGGTCGAGGGCTGCTGGGTGGGCGTCTCCCCTCTCTCTCTCTCTCCCCTCTCTCTCAGTCCCCTCTCTCTCGGTCCCCTCTCTCTCAGTCCCCTCTCTCTCCCTTCTCTCAGTAATCCCCTCATTTCTTACCTCTTCATCCCTCATCCCTCACCCTTCCCCTTAATCCCTCACCCCTCACCCTTCCCCTTAATCCCTCACCCCTCACCACCCCTTAATCCCTCACCCCTCACCACCCCCTTAATCCCTCACCCCTCACCACCCCCTTAATCCCTCACCCCCTCACACCCCCTTAATCCTTCACCCTCACCACCCCTCCAATCCTCCCCTCACCACCCCTTAATCCTCACCCCTCACCCCCCCTTAATCCCTCACCCCTCACCCCTCCCCTCATTTATCTCCTCTAACACCTTCCTTCTTCCCTCCTCTCATCCTTCTTCCTTCACTTCTCCTAAACCTTTCTTCTCCTTGCCCCTATTTCTTTCTTTCTCTCATTTCTCCTCCATCCTTCACCTCATTTATCACATATATATTTTGATCGTTCATTCTTCTGTTTCTCTACACATTTTAGTTTTTCCTGTTTATAAACATTATTGTGTTTATCATTGCCTATTATAAACACATTTTAGTCTTTTAACTTTTTAATAAAGTTAATAGACCAATTTGTATTTATTTTTTATTTCTTCATAGTGTTTCATTGAGGGTAGAGCGTTATATCGAGTGTCCGTTAGGTGTATAACCAGGGCCGGATTGAGGAGTGGGCAAGGCAGCAGCTGCCCAGGGGCCTCCACAGGTCTAAATCCGGCACTGTGTATAACCCCATTTAACGGACTCTACAATAAATGGTAGTCCGTTATATCGAGGGTCCGTAGGATAGTCCGTTATATGGAGGCTTCACTGTACAGAGACCCTTCAGCTGGTGAGAACAACCCCCCCCCCTCACCCCCATTGAGTGCTTCTCTTTACCTCACGTCTCAAGTTTATCCTCACCTTTGTATTTTAACTTACCTGCAAACTTTAATGAGAGGTGAAGATTGGCGTCAAGCATCCCGGGTGACGATATTGTCAAACAGGTTAGGTTAGGTTAGGTGAGGTTAGGTAAGGTTAGGTTAGGTAGGTTAGGTTAGGTTAGAGGTGAGGTTAGAAGTCGGTGTTTTAGTGTTAGTTGTGGAGGTGGGTTTTATGTTGTGACTAGCATGAACCAATGTTAAAATTATGTGTACTAGGAACTATGTCTAGGAGTAAGCTCTTTTTATAGCACTGTGTAATACGAATGGTAGGTCACATGGGGCCCCTGGTTTTATGACGTCACAGTTTTGTTGGGCCCCAAACACATCCTAATATAATGGGGCCCCCTTGAACCAGCCATCATAGACCAAGGCTGAAAATGGTTGTCTCATATATCGAAAATGTCTCTTCTATTCTTTCTTTTTATCTTTATTCATTACGACGAAATAATGAAGTTTCAAATTGCAGTGAAAGGTGACGCGATCACTTGAAATACCAGCCAGGAGAATTAGTCTTGATATCTCTCTCTCTCTCTCTCTCTCTCTCTCTCTCTCTCTCTCTCTCTCTCTCTCTCTTGTCTCTTTACCTGGCCTAATACATTCCGTCAGCCACGTCACAGCGGGTTAAAGATAATGACAACGTGGAGAATATTGTTAGCCGCTGGAAATCAGGTTCCTTTTTGAGGAGGGAATTTCTCGGTGACTAACATAGAAAACGGATTATATTGGCGGGGATACTGAAGGAGAGTTCAGTGACGCGGTGGTATTTATTTAGTTATTTATTTATTTTCCTACGAGTTTATATCCTAATTCAATGTATATTATCCAGATATATTCATTATTTAATTTTATATCAAATAGCTCTTACGTCAGCCAGAGTATTTGGAATCGTCTCTTCACTGTATGTTCATCTTTCGAGTACAGTATTAGTTTTTTTTTAACTATATTTTTCTTCATACCGTTTCTTATATTTTTTTTGCAACATTATTACCGTTATCATACAAGGTCGTATCTTCTTATTCTATCTATTATCGTATTTTTGTGTTTGTATATTGCCATTTGTTTCATTTTTCTTTACCTTACCACATTACTCACTCACATCCCCTCACCCTATCCTTCCAGCCCTCCCACTGTTGTGACTCAACCTGACGGTAATATAATTGAGAAAGGAGTTAGAATTAACAACTGGGCATCCACTCTACAAACTGAATTAGTTGCCATACTCACAGCTATTAAATTCATTAAAACCACTGTTACTGACAGTCTCATCATTACTGACTCTCTATCACTACTTGCCCTTGGCACCTTCGACTCAGGTTGTCACGCTCTTGTCTCTGAAGCCAGACACAAACATGCGTACCTTGTTGACCGGGGTGTCAAGGTCAAACTGTTGTGGATCCCCTCTCACAGAGGCCTCATAAAACATGACAGAGTTGATGCCCTCGCCAAACTCGCGTCTAACAAAGACACCGTTGAATACAATTTGGGTCTGTCAAAAAGAACCCTTAAAACTGTAATTAGGAAAGAACTTATTGATGAGTTTGACGCAAGTAGACAAGTGCAAACAGGCACTAGTCGAGCCATAGTTTACCATGATGAGATGTATCAAGTGAAACATGTATATGGAGCACGTAACAAGATCACTAGATTACAAGATGTTGTAACCGCTAGATTAAGGTTAGGATATAAGTACCTTTGGCAGTATGTTCCTCAAGCAGATGTGAACAAGACGAAATGTAAAGTGTGTGGCCAGACATATAGCCACACACTTGAACACTACGTCCTCGAGTTTTAGGGACAGGTCCAAGCACACTGTGTGTGAAATGGCACAACACTTCATCTCTAATGGCAAGATAGCCGACATATTAAGATTGTATCCAATTTTTTGCACTTTGTAGCTATATCAGTTCTCATGTATAGAATCAAACACACAATGTGCTTCAATACTTCTCACGTAAATGTGAGTAGCAAAGTGTGCGGCCAGACATACTGCCTCACACTCCTGTACTCACGCAGTTGTGAATAAGTTACCCTTTATGTATAGAATTAAGCAAAGAATTTAGTTGAAATACTGTGTAACACTCAGTGCCATAATATCCTGACTACGGGGGTTAGTTCCTCTTGTGAACCACACTCTGTAATCCTTTTGCTCTACTGCTCACAGAATGAGTATGGGGTGCACAATAAACTAGCCGCTGTAAGTGGCAAAATTAAAAAAAAATCAAATTCCCTCCATCCTCTTTACCCCCTCCCCCCACACCCCATCCCCCATCCCCCAGACCCCATCCCCCAGACCCCATCCCCCCAGACCCAATCCCCAAGAGGGAAAAACATCCTGCTCTTTTCAGTGTTATTCAGCGCCACAGTCCGTGTTTACAAATTCAGTAAATATTCACCAAACGCCCGGGACACAGTAGGGCCCCAGCCACACACTCCCCCCTCAGTGTGACAGCCACCCCCCACCCCATTACACACTCCCTCCCTCCCGTCAACCTTAAGCAGAGGCTGTAAGGGTAAATCCTCCAGGATCAACTCCCCCTTTTGTAGTGAGGATGGCAGCGTCTATACCCGCACCAGTCGCACACCACTCAGTCACGCGTCTCACCACACTGTTGACAAAAACGTTGTTTGTCCCCCAACCAGTGTAGGCATAGGAAGGACATAGAATCACTGGGTCTGTGTTTGTAAGCATTATCTCCTGACTGAAGGGAGGATGAGTGTTTGGAACGGCCTTGTGTGTGTTCATAAGGAAGATGGTTCATTGATAAAACACAACAGTGATTAATTTTCAGGTCCAATATACAGTGTACCATTAACTCTCGTGTTATTATTATTATTATTATTATTATTATTATTATTATTATTATTATTATTATTATTGTTATTATTATTATTATTATTATTATTATTATTATTATTATTATTGATTAGTCTCGCCGTCTCCATACCATTTCAAAAATATATATCGACCTCTAGGTGTTGGTGTAGAAGGTATTGTAACCACTTTGTCTGTGTGTTTTTGTACAATATATTTCACTCAATGATTTGGTGGTTTTGAGGAACGTTGTAGTGTATGTTGGAATAAGTCGAAGTGATTGTTGGAGAAGTTTAAGATGAAGTGTTAGTGAAAATAAGATACATACACTACCCTCAGGTTACATTCTGCCTCCTCACCACCTCTGTCTCCCCCACACATCACAACACCTCCCTCTCCACCAACCACACACATCACACCGCCTCCCTCCCTCCCAACCACACACATCACAACACCTCCCTCTCCACCAACCACACACATCACACCGCCTCCCTCCCTCCCAACCACACACATCACAACACCTCCCTCTCCACCAACCACACACATCACAACACCTCCCTCCCTCTCCATCACTCCCGCACATCACACCACCTCCCTCTCCATCACTCCCGCACATCACAACGCCTCGCTCCTCGCTACAAGATCCCAGCCCTGATATTTTTTACAGCCTTGGTAAGGATTGTAAGCGTTTAGGTTGAGACATGTCATTGTTGTAGTTACTTGTAGATGAGGCGAGAGAATTTAAAGGGCTGGGTAGAGGGTCCTCCTCTCTTAATAATTCCCAGAAGTATAAAATTATCAAAATTCAAGGACTTCTAAACACACTAATGCTCTGTCACACATACACACACACACGTCTTAATGAAGTATATTTTAAAATTGTTCTCAACTTTTTTATTTAATTTCTCGCTATCCAGATTTTTTTAACACCATAGTCACCGGCCAATCAGGTACATCTAAACTCCACACCTCCCACAACCCATCAGATCCGCCACAAATGTAACATACGAGTATTATGGCTTCGATTTCCCAAGGGATCGTTTGAATATTTTTTCTCATGGAAATGGAAATGTGAGTACGGTCCTAAAATGACTCGTTTTAACTAAGGCATAAAGTTGACTGTCGGGATAGGAATTGGAACTGACACGACTGTTAACTCTGATGGCTTTTCTGATCCTCAATTACGGGATAAATTAACCAATGTTTGAGAATACACGTGCAAAGTTTCTGTGATTTTCCTCGACTTTGTGTAGGTGTGGGCAGGTGTTGTAGGTGTGGGCAGGTGTTGTAGGTGAGGGCAGGTGTTGTAGGTGTGGGCAGGTGTTGTAGGTGTGGGCAGGTGTTGTAGGTGTGGGCAGTGTTGTTGTAGGCAGTTGTGGTGAAGGCAGGTGTTGTAGTTGAGGGCAGGTGTTGTAGGTGGAGGGCAAGTGTTGTGTGGTGTGGGCAGGTGTTTTCTGTAGGCAGGTGTTGTAGGTGAGGGCAGGTGTTGTAGGTGTGGAGCAGGTGTTGTAGGTGAGGCGTTGCAGGTGAGGGCAGGTGTTGTAGGTGTGTAGGCAGGTGTTGTAGGTGGAGGCAGGTGTTGTAGGTGTGTGAGGCAGGTGTTGTAGGTGTGGAGCAGGTGTTGTAGGGTGAGGGGCAGGTGTTGTAGGTGTGAGCAGGTGTTGTAGGTGTGGGCAGGTGTTGTAGGTGTGGGCAGGTGTTGTAGGTGTAGGCAGGTGTTGTAGTTGTGGGCAGGTGTTGTAGGTGAGGGCAGGTGTTGTAGGTGTGGGCAGGTTTGTTGTACTGCCACACGTGTCTTCACTTGTTCTACATCTCAAAATACTGCTGACAAATTTCTTTCTGCTTCACGTCAGTTAGGTTCCTCTATAGTCTATAATACCATTACTACACCATTAATGAATCACTCACTCACTGATATACTGAAAGAACTTTTTCCTCATGATCTTACAGGTGTTCTACTGGTTCACGGCAGTAATCTTCATCTTACTGCCTCTGGTGCTCTTGGCTGTGTTCAACTCCTTCTTAATCCACGTGGTGAAGCTAAGCAGAGCACAGCGACGCACCATGACCAATCACCGCGTGGAGAGGGACAACCACTCACAGTCGCAGGAGAACAAGATCACCATCATGCTTATCGCTGTGGTGTTGCTGGCCCTCGTGTGCCAGCTGCCCGTTGCTGTCCTCCTGCTGTATACAACAGTTTATGTGGTAAGTGTGTGTGTGTGTGTGTGTGTGTGTGTGTGTGTGTGTGTGTGTGTGTGTGTGTGTGTGTGTGTGTGCCTTCAGAGAGAACCTCGGCCAAATCCAAACAATACACCTGCCGGTCCCGTATCGGTCTCTTTAGTCACCTTAGAACTCACCAACCTCGGTCACATCCTTAATAACTCATATCATTGTGTCATAGCTGGATGATCGTCATACTTGATTTCGAGTGACAACAAAGTAGTAGTAGCAGTGTGTGAATATTGCTGGGTGGTAGATATCGTATATTTGTTCATATATATACTGTATGTATGTTTATCGTCAACATTAAATTACAAAACATATACATATACTGTACATATAATACAATATTTATGTAAGTATTTGGTACAGTTCATTATTTATAACTCCAAGGATTAAAATTCTGTAAATACAGTTAAGAGTTGTATTAGAGGCAGGTATATCAAGGGGTACTTAGTATACTGTACACCTGGTCACCACTAATTAATTGGCAGGGGCTTCACGAGGCCTTGGCAACACGTGTCTCTCTCTCTCTCTCTCTCTCTCTCTCTCTCTCTCTCACACGCTAAAATTACCCTCTTTGTCCACAGTCAGAACCTCATTCTAACAGTCAATACGTCGAGCTTAGTCTGGGCAATATCTTCAACCTCCTGGCCGCCATCAACGCCGCCTGTAACTTCGTGCTCTACTGCGCCATGAGTGACAAGTACCGGCGGACCTTCCTACGCACCTTCTGCTCACGTTGGTACCGTCAGCCTTCGCCCCTACACTCCTGGATGGCCACGGCCTACAGCAACGTGGAGGATGGCAGTCCGCGCTTCTCTAGGATGTCCTCCATGCGTATGTCACGTCGCTCATCCTACAGGTTAGTGACGGGGCAGGAGGTAAGGCTCGGGGCACGGTATAGTATCTAGAGGCACGGTATTCGGGGCACTGTACTCGGGACACTGGGGTCTGGACTCGGGGATCGGGGCATAGGGACTCGGGACACGGGGCATAGGACTCGGGACACGGGGAACGGGGCATAGGACTCGGGACACGGGGAACGGGGCATAGGACTCGGGACACGGGGAACGGGGCATAGGACTCGGGATACGGGGAACGGGGCATAGGACACGGGGAACGGGGCATAGAACTCTGGGCACGGGGAACGGGGCATAGAACTCGGGGCACAGGATTGAAGACTATTAGTGAGTAGATGAGTTTAAATAGTGGTTGGTTTTATTCCTGGTTTACGGACAGTGTTTTAATAGTTTGGCTGAAAGGTAAATAAAGGTGATACAAGGAAGTAATAAAGTAGATGAAGTAAGTCACAATAAACAATTAAAGCTCCAGCGATAGACACAAGTGAGTCAGAACAGGTAGACGTCACTTATGATGTCGCCTCAGCTACTTGACGTCACTTATGATGTCACCTCAGCTACTTGACGTCACTTATGATGTCGCCTCAGCTACTTGACGTCACTTATGATGTCACCTCAGCTACTTGACGTCACTTATGATGTCACCTCAGCTACTTGACGTCACTTATGATGTCGCCTCAGCTACTTGACGTCACTTATGATGTCACCTCAGCTACTTGACGTCACTTATGATGTCACCTCAGCTACTTGACGTCACTTATGATGTCACCTCTATAACATGTAAGGTTATTGTAGGGGTTACTAGAGCCCTACGATACGTCAGTGTTAAACGTAAACACAGGACTAATGGTAAAATAAACTACGATAGGTCTTATTTATTCATGGGATAAAACAAACTACAGTGGAGCTATTTATTCGTGATAGCTCCTGTTTTTTACCTTTTATGTCTCATGTTCCTGGAGGTATTTAGAATATATAACATTATTGCTCACTCTCTTGTTCCCTCTTCGTTAACTTTGCCCTTCATCCAATTTAGAGTTTCCCCTCTGGTGCTGAGCTTCTCTCTATAGTTTCTTATTAATCTCTAGTGTGGGACCCTATCAAAGCTGTACTCAAGGTCAAGGTCAATAATATTCTTATGTATACCATTATTTTCAACTTATTAAACATTGTATTAATCTTCCTGTTTAAGAAAATCAATATCTAACTTATTTTTTTATATATGTAACATAATGTACTTTTACCCAAGCGATGTACTGTACTAACAAGAGAATGTACATATGTATGATAAATGTACAATATGTGTATGTGTCGTGTCTCATGATTTATACTGTATGTGTGATTTAATTAACACACCTCAGCTGGGACTAACCTGACACCTACCTGTCTGTGTGCCTCCGCTAATGTTGAGTCCGTCACTACCAACACGGTGGGCGGTGTCAGGGGGCAGCTGGGTTAGTAACGACGCCCACTGGTGAAGGAGGTGGACATGGAAACTTGAACTGCAATACAAGGAGATCAGGATAGGACTCGGGAAATAAGGATAGCGTCAGGATAGGTCTCGGGAAATCACGATAGCGTCAGGATAGGTCTCGGGAAATCACGATAGCGTCAGGATAGGTCTCGGGAAATCACGATAGCGTCAGGATAGATCGTCAGGAGCCACAACACAAGTCTTTACACAGTGACTGATGCTCTACCATTTGTAAAGACCATTGCTCGCACCGTAGGAAGCAACGCCACAACGAGCAATCAATGGTGCCTGGCGTTCCCCCTCCCTCGGTAATTATAAACCTATGGAAGTTGCGCCAGGCTAACCTTCGCCCGCCTTTTTGCTAGCAGTGTCGTTATTTCCACTGTATGAGCATTAAGGTTCAATTGGAAAGCCTATGGGAAATATATGAGGCTGTTATTGGTAGGTGGATGGTGGTAGATAGTGTTGCAGGTGGTGGTAGATAGAGTGTTGCAGGTGGTGGTAGATAGAGTGTTGCAGGTGGTGGTAGATAGAGTGTTGCAGGTGGTGGTAGATAGAGTGTTGCAGGTGGTGGTAGATAGAGTGTTGCAGGTGGTGGTAGATAGTGTGTGTTGTGGTGTAGATGTTGCAGAGATAGAGTGTTGCAGGTGGTGGTAGATAGAGTGTTGCAGGTAGTAGAGATAGTGTTGCAGGTGGTGGTGGATAGAGTGTGTGCAGGTAGGTAGATAGTGTTGCAGGTGGTGCAGGTGCAGGTGGTGGTAGACAGACAGTGTTGCAGGTGGTGGTAGTGTTGCAGGTGTGGTATAGAGTGTTGCAGGTGGTGGTAGATAGACAGTGTTGCAGAGATAGTGTTGTTGCAGGTGGTGGTAGATAGAGTAGTGTTGTGTTAGTGTGTTGCAGGTGGTGGTAGATAGAGTGTTGCAGGTGGTGGTAGATAGCTGGTGGTGGTGTAGATAGAGTGTTGCAGGTGGTGGTAGATAGAGTGTTGCAGGTGGTGGTAGATAGACAGTGTTGCAGGTGGTGGTAGATAGTGTGTTAGCAGGTAGGTGGTAGGTAGAGGTGTTGCAGGTGGTGGTAGATAGAGTGTTGCAGGTGGTGGTAGATAGACAGTGTTGCAGGTGGTGGTAGATAGTGTGTAGGTGGTGGTAGATAGAGTGTTGCAGGTGGTGGTAGATAGAGGTTGCAGGTAAGACAGCAGGTGGTGGTAGATAGTGTGTTGCAGGTGGTGGTAGATAGAGTGTTGCAGGTGGTGGTAGATAGAGTGTTGCAGGTGGTGGTAGATAGAGTGTTGCAGGTGGTGGTAGATAGAGTGTTGCAGGTGGTGGTAGATAGAGTGTTGCAGGTGGTGGTAGATAGAGTGTTGCAGGTGGTGGTAGAATATATGGGTGGAAGGGGTTAGGATAAACAAATGGACTGGAGTCATGGAGGAAGAAGTATGACCTTCAGTTGGAGGAGAAGGAGGTATCATAGGCAGTGAATGGCAGATGAGTAGGTGGCAGAAGGGTAGATGTCGGAGGAAGTGTAGCTATCCCTCCCACAGGAGCAGCGGGTCGGGTAGCCCTCGAGGAAGCCCCACCCATGGTCGTGGGTTAAGCGGGGGCCGCCCTGGGCACTACCTGACAGTGCCCAGTCCTTCTCACAACCCCACCCCCGCCCTCCTGACGCCCACCAAGACCGCTCTCCTCCACCCCGTTCCTGACGATGTCTCACGTCCACTCCTCAAGAAGGTGTGTCTCCCTGTCCCCTTCTCTCTCTCTCTCTCTCTCTCTCTCTCTCTGTGCTTGTTTATGTTTAGCTGTATATATTCACCTACCTCTTAAACACAATCAAGTTCACACTATATATAGACTAATGTACTGTATATATTCACACACTGAACTAAGTGATCTATGGTGGATTGTGTAGTAACTCGCCCACTCCCTTGGCTGTCTCCTGGGAATATGTTTTTAACAACCCCCTAAACGCCTCACCCAATCACCTCCCCAACTTGAACCTATTACCATTATAAATCCTAAATAGATGTTAATAGAAATAACCACCATTGTTGTCACTGTTACGAGCCAAGGGTGTGGATGTGTTCTCTATGTCAATGGCCTTTTTAATGTTACAAAGTACTATCATTTACATGTTATTTATACTCTTTCTCTCCCATTAATATTTACTAAAAATTCTAATACAATTTCCTAATACCATTGTCTGTGTGTATGTCAACTAATAGATGTTTTGTATATATGGTCCTGTTGCCTCTCTTCCTGAACCCCGAGAGATTCAAACTCGTGAACCCAAAGCATCTGAGGACAGAATATTGTAACACTCTACTGCTTCGGGTTCACGAGTCTGAATCTCTCGGGGTTCAGGAAGAGAGGCGACAGGACTTCTGGTTGGTGACTCTACTTCAATTACTAACTAAACTTATCACTTTTTACATCAAATAAGTTATTAGAGGATAATATATTAATCAGTAGTTTGTAAGTGCACCAATTGACTGTATTATACTCCCTAATATACTTTAATATATTCATGTGGTCTCAGAGTGTGCATGTGTATAGTTCATGTGAGTCTTTGTTGATGGGATTTTTATAACATTATCTTCTCTTTGTTGTCATTCTGTAGTTTATAACACCCTGTCTCCTTCCCCTCACCATGGTTACTCCACTCTACGGTGAGCCGCCTTAGTCAACCTGGCCTCCGTCTTCCCCTAACTCATCTGTCTCTTCATAGTTGTCATTCTCGTTCCTCCCTGTTACTGTCTCTCTTGTCTTGTCCTGCTCCTCCCCCTGCCATGTGAGTGACGAGTGTCTCCCCCAGACATCCTCGGGAAAAAACGGCAGCGACAACGGGAACGCGGGTGTGACCAGCCCCGCCGTCACCGCCTCCGCCGCAACGCTCCTCAATGGGTCGCCCAACTCCCAGACTCCTGCCCCTTCAGCACCCCCTCCAGGAGCCGCCAGCCGCTTTGCCCGTCGTCTGTCGTCGTTGTTGCCTCAAAGAAACAATACCAGCACCCAACTGGCTGGCAGACACATCGTCATCACCTGTCAACAACCTTCAGTGGATGAGCAGACTGCTCTCTGAGATGTCCTCCTCTAAGTTACCTATGAGAGTACACATAACTTATTAGCAAAGACTGTGTTAAAGGTCTGCTGTGGTCAGTCAGACAAGCTTGACATAAGTTTGTTACAGCACGTCAGTAAATATTAATATCTAGCTCTTGAGAACCTTAGGAGGAAGGGACGCCACAGAAGGTGAAGTGATGTGTTGTGTTGCAAGAATCATCAGAGACGCCGACAGCTCCGCCAACCTTCTCAGTGGACTAATAATAAAATGTCTAAGAATAAGCTAACTGACCTGAGGTCCTCATGTTGTGAGGGTGGTGGACAGACACTAACTGTAAACTGTATAAATGAAGACGTTATTTACTATAATTACGAATTATAAACCAAGAACATATAATTATTTAGAGTGTGGCTTATTTACGTGTTTACTCTTCCTCTTGATATATGTCTCTACAAGGTGACAATAAAATATATACTTAGGTTTATATAGCCATCAGTAAAGAGGTAGGAATCATCAGTGTGTATATATACAGTAAATGTTAATATTTTACCGGATTACTTACTTAGTAATATGTATCATTAATGTGGCCACTAGTAGCTGGTCACGTGTGGTGTCAGGACTACTAGAGGCAGTGGTTGGGCCAAATCTTAGACCTATTTTCCTACATTCAGAAAGTATTAGTCGGATCTATAAGTTAATAATGTATATCATAAACTCTCTGTAATGTTAAAGAGCTGTACATAATACTCTTAACCCGTGGGAGTGAACCTGGTGGAGAGCTTCCCTGAATGTGTATTGCGAACATTTGGCGAGCGAGCGGCCCAGTCTTCTTATATTTTTCGACCCGCCGGGAGCACCGAGGGTTCATCATGTATGTCTGTCTTTCCTACAAGTTGTTCATAAATGTATTATAATAATGATTCACATCTCATGAGCTTTAGATTAACAAATAGATGTGTTAGCAGGTAATTAAGCAAGCATGTTTATAATTGTAACCAACAGTTGTACACGGTCACTGTTCTAACTACCTTCTCTCGGTTACCCACTACGGTGCCCGGAATTAGATTATAACTTGACTTTAATAGCAATACTGCATCATCCGCACACGCTCCCGCCACCATGTTGTGTCCTGTACAGCCACACACTACAATATATCTCCTGTAAGAGTTGTGGTCGCTGTTATGTGTTCACTGTGGCTTGGTCTGCTTGCCGGGGATCGAACTGGGGGATCCAGGAGCCACCGAGCGAGTGAGTGAAGGTGCTACGTGATTGAGACAATATACTTGTTTTGTTTTGTTATAGTTATATAAGTGTGATTGATGGGGATTTTATCAACGCTGAGAAAGATGTGAAGGCGAAGTAACTAACTAGTGTGTGTACAGCAGCGGAGGACAGTACTTCACACCCTCACGTGGGAAGATAATATGCTTATATTTTTGACACATTTTCGGCATATTGTCAAAATGATTTATAAGTCAGCCATAGATCGCTTGCCAGGTATATACTTGCCAATATCCATATTTTTGTCTTATATGCACCTGTAAATATAAACATATATATATATATGTGTGTGAGAGGTTCCTTCACTGTAGGTTATGGTGTACCTGTAACCATGTATTAGTGAGCAGTATTACGTGAGTGTTAACACGTAAACTTTAAGGTAAGCCTTGATGCAGCTGTACCTGTAAGTGGACTGAAGCAGTGAATGAGTCAGTGTCACGAGGAAGTGGATGAGTCAGTATCACTTGGAGGTGGATGAGTCAGTGTCACTTGGAGGTGGATGAGTCAGTGTCACTAGGAGGTGGATGAGTCAGTGTCACTAGGAGGTGGATGAGTCAGTGTCACTAGGAGGTGGATGAGTCAGTGTCACTAGGAGGTGGATGAGTCAGTGTCACTAGGAGGTGGATGAGTCAGTGTCACTAGGAGGTGGATGAATATAAAGAACAATACTGATATATAACTAATTTATACTTCTGGATGGCTACGTGTGGAAACTGAGAACTGAGTCAGCTCTTAGTACAAGTAAACGAGAATTAATTAAAGTGAATAAATATGTAAAAGCAAATTGACGGATGAATTGATGATGCTCGGTCATGATTCGTCGATATACCATGAGCAGGTGGGTGGGTGGGTGGTCTTGGTGGTGATAGTGGAGACCAAGGGGGCGTCGCAATCATCATGTACACTTCTTTATTCCCGTCGTTCTTACTTCTACATATAGAGTTTTTATCTTCTACATAGATTTATAATATTATGTAGATGTTTAGTTTCCACATAGAGTAATAATGTAGTTAAGAAGAATATAAGTATTGTCATTATGTGTATTATATGTTTATTATGTAATACTATTGTCAGCATTATTATACAGTATATTGTCAGTACTACCAATACCCAAGCTTAACTACCAGGCTTAACTACCAAGCTTAACTACCAGGCTTAACTACCAAGCTTAACTACCAAGCTTAACTACCAGGCTTAACGGTGATGTATTCTATCGGTAATATAACAAATACTCTGGCATCAGTAGAGAAAATATTATCATTCCAAATTACTTTGTTTTAGGAATTTATTTGTTTATTTTGTGATTATAAGGTGTGTGTGTGTGTGTGTGTGTGTGTGTGTGTGTGTGTTTTGCATAGTTCATGATGAAGTCAAGAGACGATGATGAAACCAAGAGGCGATGATGAAGCCAAGAGACGATGATGAAGCCAAGAGGCGATGATGAAGCCAAGAGGCGATGATGAAGCCAAGAGGCGATGATGAAGCCAAGAGGCGATGATGAAGCCAAGAGACGATGATGAAGCCAAGAGACGATGATGAAGCCAAGAGACGATGATGAAGCCAAGAGACGATGATGAAGCCAAGAGACGATGATGAAGCCAAGAGACGATGATGAAGCCAAAAGACGATGATGAAGCCAAAAGACGACGATGAAGCCAAGGACATTTATTACGTCCCAGCTCTTCAGTAATCCAGAAGCGAACAGGGTATTGGATTTAACCGGATTTATGGAGGATTAGCGCCAGCGACGGTTAATCCCAGGATTTAAGTGACCAAATACCTGTCAGGTGTCTCAGGGTGATTCAGTGTATGAAATTCGAACAGCGGGTCATGAAGAGAACATAAATTTGAACAGTGAAGGAGACGGTTTACGGTAATTTCGAACACATAGGAAATGGTCTACCTTATTTCGAACGCAGAGTCGATTAAGTGTTAATTCGGAAAGTTGGTGATTCGGTTAAGCGTTGATTCTGGACTTGAGGTGAGAAATTGAACGGTAAAGGTGTACAAAAGGCATTTAATCCGGTATTTGATACTGTTTATTTATGTATAAGTAACCGGATTATCCCCATATATAGTCAAATGAAGTGGCCGGATATATAGAGGAATTGATATCTGGTGACCGGATAATCCATATCAAATAGTCAGATATACAAGGTGATAATGTACCGTACAACAACCGGATTATTCACAATAATCCGTATAAAGTGACTGTACTGATGTCTGGTGACCGGATAATCTAAAAAAAAATCCTTATACGGTCACCGGATAATGCCATTAATGGAAAGGGATTTGGATTAAGAATTTCATAAGCCTGTGACGTCAGCGTGAAACATATAGAGGAACTTTGTAAATAAATCGATCACTCAACAGCGTCTATTGTTCAGAAAACTTGGGGCACTTGACGCTGAGAGTTCCTATGTGGGTGAAGAAAGTTACTGAGCGATAACTGCTGTGATAGTGAGTGATACATTATGAGAACTGAACCAATGAACTTAAAACATGTTGGTGTTGGTTGGAAATGAGTGGAGAAGTGATGACTGAAAGTGTATTGCTTCAGATTATAGTACTACGGGGAATTTATGAATGAAAATCAGTGTATTGCGTCAGATTATAGTACTACGGGGAATTTATGAATGAAAATCAGTGTATTGCGTCAGATTATAGTACTACGGGGAATTTATGAATGAAAATCAGTGTATTGCGTCAGATTATAGTACTACGGGGAATTTATGAATGAAAATCAGTGTATTGCGTCAGATTATAGTACTACGGGGAATTTATGAATGAAAATCAGTGTATTGCGTCAGATTATAGTACTACGGGGAATTTATGAATGAAAATCAGTGTATTGCGTCAGATTATAGTACTACGGGGAATTTATGAATGAAAATCAGTGTATTGCGTCAGACTATAGTACTACGGGGAATTTATGAATGAAAGTCAACGTAGTAATAGTATAGTGCCTCAGCTGATGTTTTTATGAATGAACATCAGTAAACAAACGCATGTGATTACCCCTAAGAACTCAATAGAACTGTAAGGTGCTGTTGATGGGAGAGACGAGACATTAGCAGAGGAGTGAATGTCGGGCTGAAATGTAAACAATGATGGTGTTGCCAGAGTTTATTAAATGTGTTCAAATATCGATAGTGAGAAAAACAAGAGGAAGATAAAGCAAGAATCAGATGAATTGAGGAGGAAAATGAAAAGGAAAAGAAGTGGATGAGGTGAGACAAGAAGGAAAATCAAGAGGAAAAGGGAAGAGAGAGAGAGAGAGAGAAAAGGAAATAAGGTTAATCTTACTCTTTAAACTTTTATATAATATTCAATTACATAAAGCTCAATACATACATACATACATACATATGACTATGTACATATCTCTCTGTTCATATTGTAGATTTTAAGGTATAATACTAATGTTTGTACTTATTATAAAACTTAAGTATTCTCAAACCATTCTCACGGATACCAGGAGGAGTTAAATCCCATATCCGAAGTCCTTTATCCGGACTCAAAACCGAGAATCCGGAATATATACTATACCAAGGTGACATTTATCTGGATATGAACCGGTGCTTTTACAATAAGGTAAATTAAACCTTATGTTAATGCCTCGTAAGGTTCAAAGTAATGAGGATGTTATGATGTAGTTGTTGGTTTTTTTTAACCTGTTGTCATGTTCGTATTGTTGTGCGTGACTCTGGCTTCAGCTTTAAGGGGGAAGGGTGACAGGGTAATTACAGCTAGTAGTAATATCTATGTGGTCTCTAGCCGCCCTCTCGAACATTTCTTCTTAAACCTTCTTACGTAAATATAAAACTAATTTTTTTTCTCTCCTCCTCCTCTTTCGTTATTCCTTCATTATCATATTTTTTCTTTTCTTTTTGTATTTATCAGTTTATTCCGTACTGTTTGTCTTCCTTGTCTTTATGCTGTTAATCTATTTTTTTTAGGTTTAATAATATTTTCCAGGCGTTTTCTCAATAAGGAGTAAATCAGTGTTTACTAACTGGTCGAACTTCGTATCCGAAACGAAACTAACTTCACCTCAAAAACACTAACTTCACATAAAACATCTAACTTCACATTAAACATCTAACTTCACCTCAAAAACACTAACTTCACATCAAACATCTAACTTCACATAAAACATCTAACTTCACATCAAAACACTAACTTCACATTAAACATAACTTCACATTATCAAAAGACAATTACCACTAAACTGAACGTCCTGAAGGCAAGTCTCAGCAGCTGTTTGTGGGCCCAGCTTCCATCATCACCAGAGAATTTATTGACTTTCTCGTTTAATCTTAGGAATGGTTGAGATGTGTTTGACCTTTGCTGTTCTGTCTGTCTGTCTGTTTTCTTCTCTCCAGTCCTCTTTTAATCTCTTGTGTTTTCCTCTCTATTTTCATCTTCCTCGCTCTCTCTCTCTCTCTCTTTCACACGCATTCAGTCTCTCTCTCTCTCTCCAAACACACACACACACACACACACACACACACCATATTAACCTCCCCACGAGAAAGAAAAATAAAGTAACACGTTTTAATACTAATTCCTAAGTTGATCTTTTTTACAACACCATAATTGGCAAACGCTGTACAAACTCCTCCACCAACGTCAACACTCACTCACGCAGTTGCTTGTAAGGTTCTGGTTGTTGAGAGGACGGTGCAAGCAGTGTAGTGTACTGTAGCTAAGATGATGAAAATACCAGAATTGTGTTTGGTTTTGATTTAGATACACCAGAATATTGTCATTGATTTTGAATTAGAAACACCAGGAAATTATCATAGACACTGATGCAGGAATACCAATATATAACATTTATTTTGAAGTGAAAGTCAACAACACATAAAAAACAAAATATCAACAGGTCATATTGTTTTAGAATAAATACGTCACCAGTACATCCGAACATATTGGCTTTAAATAAAACTAACAACAGTACACGTCTAGTACTGTACATGTCAACACTACGTAACAGAGAGCAGTCAGACTACCCCAAATGGCTATGGACAGCTGAAAGATGACTAATTAATAATACATCTTAATTAAAATATTTTCCTACTACTTCTTAACTTGACAATACCTACAGTTCATCTATATCCAACGTACATTAAATTCTTCCATTTATAGTAACAGTAACTTCTATGACCAAATATATTTTGTCTATCTGTGTAATTTCAAGTCATTTTATACGCCAGCTGAGAGTTGTCCTGCAATTGCACCTTAGGCTTTCAATTGCATGGTTATATCTCCTTGGTGTTTAGGTCTTACCAGATTATATTAGCAGTTATCTCCTCTCTCTCTCTCTCTCTCTCTCTCTCTCTCTCTCTCTCTCTCTCTCTCTCTCTTCCCAAGTTTCTGGAAGTTCCTCTTTTTTATCTTATTGTACTTTCCTTCATTTATCATTTATATCTTGGTCCTTGTTCTCAATTTCCTCGTTTTTAATTTATTTTCTATAGTTGAATCTTTCATTTTTGTTTCATTCCCTTTATCCTTCTTCATCTTTTACCTTAATACCTATATTTTCCTGGTGTTCTTTCTCTCGATATTTCATCTATTTCTCAATCCTTAATTACTCTTCTAATTACTTATTTATCTACATATTTCTCTAATGTATCTTCTATTTACACATTTCTCCTATTTTTTCTTATTTCTATTTCTCACTCTTCCTTGAATTCCTTTTTATTTTCTCACTTCCATCTTTATCAAATTACATGCGTTATTCACCTGTCACCTTTGCTGTGGACGGAGTTACTGTATTTACTAGTGGTGGATGGCAGAGGTAACTGACCCTTCATCTCAAACAACCTGATTCCTGAGGTTACATCTGTTGTGAGGTGACGACACAGCAACAGTAGTGTGGGTTTTGGATACATTATAGCTCTTTCATTGGTTTGAGCTCTCGACACAGCAAAACTCTAGTGGTTTGAGCTCTCGACACAGCAAAACTCTAGTGGTTTGAGCTCTCGACACAGCAAAACTCTAGTGGTTTGAGCTCTCGACACAGCAAAACTTTAGTTGTTTGAGCACTCGGCACAGCAAAACTCTAGTGGTTTGAGCTCTCGGCACAGCAAAACTTTAGTGGCTTGAGCTCTCGGCACAGCAAAACTCTAGTGGTTTGAGCTCTCGACACTGTAAAATCTACTACAATGGCAATAACCCACAATACATACATACATACATACATACATACATCATCTCATAATCCAGGCAGTATTGTGAGTTACCCGAGGCTGGTCTGTATATCATGGAACACCTGTTTACCTTACGTCAGGTACACACGATCATCAAGTATTCTCACTCATTCACCAGGTATAAAGTATGATGTCGTAAGGTCACAGCACAGGTGATTTTCTACTTTGTCGTGAGTTGAGAACACTGGGTGACTTGTTGTTGTGTGATTAGCTTAGAACACTTTAGACTTGCTGTTTTCTTAGCTTCCATACTGGTGAGGTTTGGTGTGTCTCAAGCTCACAGCAATAATGTTGGATTATTTGATCAGGATGCTGGAAGAACTGTGTCATCACGTTAACCTAACCTAACCTAACCTAACCTGACCTGACCTGACCTGACCTGACCTGACCTGTAGACGAGAGGAGCTTAACGACACCACCATGCCATAGTATCAGAGGATGTGTGCTGTGTCGTCTGCTCACAGGGTTATGATGTCACTGTGCTGTGTCGTCTGCTCACAGCACCGTCGTATATGTTTGAGAACAGGGCTACTGAACCTCATCTTCGCCATGGGTCCATATTTTTTTTTTTTTTTTTTACATTTCTGGGTTTACAATCAGTTGTGGGGAGTGTGTGTGGGTGTGGTTGGCAGAACACACCCGCCCGCGTCATCACACATGTGTACATTCCCACCATCACCAACACCAACACCAACACCACCATCACCACACCACCGCCAATATCTCCCTCCCTCCCTCCCTTCCTCCCACACTTCCAACACTCACACACACTCCCTCTCTAGCTAGTGATCCTGTGTTTGTCATAAGAAAATGAGCCTTAATTATACATTGTTTTAAGGTTCAAAATGACTATGTCGTCGCAATATACATTCTCAGTAAGACTTGGAGTTTTCTTTCAATGCCTAAATGTGTCTTTAAACCTTTCCTTATAAGTAATATGTGTCAGTGTTTGTGTACATTCACTTCAGATATACAGTACATCACTTGGCTCCATGACTGCTGTTAGTGGTACTTCCCCCTCTCCGGATACTCAAAGATTCACAAGTTAAATTTCCTCCTTAACTGGGAAAACAAGAAAGCTTTTATAGTTTCTGTTGAGTCTCAGTGTAATTCCAAAGCCATTTTAATTCTCATATGAGTGACTTACATGGTAAAGTAAACCAGTTAGATGCGCTCTCACATCTACAATTAAATGAGTAATTTAACTTACGACCATTTGAGAATCTGGACCTTAGAGGTGGAACTCGTATTATTACAAACTTTAAATCCTGGAGCTAAATATCCCCAGAATATTAGAGAAAATTATATATATTATGTATATGATGATAATAAAATAATAAAAGAAATGAAAATAATAATAATAGAGTATATATGATACACAAACAATGGGGGAGAGTAGACCACGTATCCTCACCCAGGAGACGACGAGATGCTGAGACGCCGAAATAAAGGTACGTAGTGATGTTTGTTCTCGGCTTCATAGATGTATCGTAGTTTTTACTTGTTGGTGCCTTGTGTAGTGACTAACTTAGAATACGCACTTGAAGACCTTGGTTGTTGAAGCACCTTAATATATTTTAACATTGCTGTATATACGACAATCCATCAATATCATGAGGTTTCAGATTAAAACTAAAGAAGGTTACGGTTATTAGGGTCAGATTTGATAACATACAAAATGAACCATCCAAACCTAACTCAAAAAATCTTATATTTTTAGTTAAGATAAGTTAGATGGGACTAATTCACTTTTGTTCGTCGGCTTTAACTGCTAAGACAGATTTGGTTTTAAAAACTACATCTTTGTCAAAACAACTATAATGCACTTTATATTGGTCCCCAAAACCACATTATTGTCAAAGCAACTATGATGTATATGATATAGAAGCAATACAATATAGGTAATAAGAATAATTATGAACACTATTACAAAAAACAAATATGTGAATATAATTTCAACTAAAACATAAAGAGTGAAATGGTACAATGTAGGGCGGATTCCGTCTCTACACACACACATACACACACTGCTTCACCACCTTGCCGTAAATATGGTCCAAGTCTCAAGGATTCTTATGAGTAGTAGCATTTTTACGTAGTCGCTTTCAAGGGATATTCATTACACGAACTTTTGAGAACCTGGATTGCCTTAACAGTAACTCCATAATATTTCATCCAAAAATACCAACTATTTAAAGCTTAAACCAGTCCAAGCATTAACTAATAACTACATACAAAGCAAATCATAGTTAAATACATACATATAATATTTTTCTAAGAATTCTTGTGTAATGTTAAAACTGCAACTGCATATGAATACATTTTAACACCAACATAAGCTGTCAACTTTTATTAGGGAGCCTAGCATTGAATCCTGCAGGCCAACCGTGTCTAAGTATGAAATCGCTAATTCTGTAGAAGGCATATGAATAATCCTAGCACAGTGCGGTATTGGATTTTTCCTCTTAAACTTTATTGGATAATTTATTCCGGGTTTTTTATTGGTTTTGGTTTAACTTCTATGTTAGGATACGATTTATAAGTACTGAACGTTATAGAGTATATACAGTATTTGGAACATTTTAACAATTATGAATAAAAGAGAACGATAAATTCTGTGCCAAACGATATATTTAGGAAGAATGGAGCGATACAGCTTGTATGCATTGAACTAAATAAACAGTAATGGTCGAACGGAATTTTTTGAAAGTGTTGGACGATGCATTTCAACAATAACGAATTATGCAATTTGAGTGATGATGCAGTTTTCAATTACCGAAAAAGGGTACAATCACATAACAGGCGACTGATATATTTTCAGAATAATAAACCTTAATTATAAATAAACCCACCAAAGTGAGTCATGTTAAACTGACTCGACCCGGGGGGCGGGGGGACCTAACAACCCATTATTCTATAGTTTAATGTTACAAAGATTCATTATTTCCGAATCTGAGAAACCAAAACTTGGAATCAGTGAATCATCTGAACGCATTGGTTAGTTGTTTGTAAATTTTAGCAACAATGACTGCCATCCATAGTGTAAAGCTGCCGGGAATCGTTCACTTTCTTGTAAACTCGGGAGTAATAGAATTGAGTCAAAAGAGTTACGTATTGAAGGGATTCCACTCGAATGGGATTGGGAGTCTTTTGATCTCTCGTAATAATTTTTATGAAAATTCGAATATCATAGTAGTTTCCAAGATCGAGACGGTCCAGCTTCTTAAATAAGTCTTCAGATGTTTGTTAGCTGTTCACCAATGCTGCCTGAAGTACAGTGTTAAACAATGCCATCGTTTAATATATTTTAATTCCCATGGGTTTCAATAAATTTAAGAACAAATGTAGAAATTATTGGCTAATGTCTCTGTTGCACATAGGTTTTTTTAGAAATAGCATTTAAACTAAAAAATCTTCCCTCATTAACATAACCATATAGATCCCATTAAGCAAATGATTCCTCTGCAATCTGATTATACGCAGGTGGGGGAGAGTTGTCCCTTTCTCCGTTTTGATTAGATGTAGAAGGTACAGATGGCTGTGACGTCACGGGGTTCCTAGCTTGTGACTGGTGGATAGAAGTTTGTTGATCACTGCCATAGACGCTCTCCCCCCAGCGTGGCAGATACAACACGAATGGTGCCTCTGTTTTCTTTTGCTGTAATGAATGACCAAACGTATTATTAAAAACATCTCCACAAAGAAAAATAGATATAAAAATTAAACCAATTATTTCCTAAATTAAACCAAAAGAAATGAAAAGGGTTTAGTATATAGTAAAGTTGTTTTATGTGTAAGTGTGAAAATACTTATTACTGCATTAATAAGAAATTTGTGGAATATAATTATTTGAAATATGGGTGATGACAGAGGACATGGGTGGCGACAGAGGACATGGGTGGTGACACAGGACATGGGTGGCGATAGAGGACATGGGTGGTGACAGAGGACATGGGTGGCGACAGAGGACATGGGTGGTGACAGAGGACATGGGTGGTGACAGAGAGGACATGGGTGGTGACAGAGGACATGGGTGGTGACAGAGGACATGGGTGGTGACAGAGGACATGGGTGATGACAGAGAGAGACATGGGGGCGACAGAGACATGGGTGGTGACAGAGGACATGGTGGTGACAGAGGACATGGGTGGTGACAGAGGACATGGGTGACAGAGAGGGACATGGGGGCGACAGAGGACATGGGTGGTGACAGAGGACATGGGTGGCGACAGAGGACATGGGTGGCGACAGAGGACATGGGTGGTGACAGAGGACATGGGTGGTGACAGAGGACATGGGTGGTGACAGACATGGATGACAGAGGACATGGGTGGTGACAGAGGACATGGGTGATGACAGAGGACATGGGTGGTGACAGAGGACATGGGTGTGACAGAGGACATGGGTGGTGACAGAGGGACATGGGTGGTGACATGGGTGTGGACATGGGTGACAGAGGACATGGTGATGACAGAGAGGACATGGTGGTGACAGAGGGGACATGGGTGGTGACAGAGGACATGGGTGGTGACAGAGGACATGGGTGGTGACAGAGGACATGGGTGATGACAGAGGACATGGGGGCGACAGAGGACATGGGTGGTGACAGAGGACATGGTGGTGACAGAGGACATGGGTGGTGACAGAGGACATGGGTGATGACAGAGAGACATGGGGCGACAGAGGACATGGGTGGTGACAGAGGACATGGGTGGCGACAGAGGACATGGGTGGCGACAGAGGACATGGGTGGTGACAGAGGACATGGGTGGCGACAGAGGACATGGGTGGTGACAGAGGACATGGGTGGTGACAGAGGACATGGACATGGGTGATGGGCAGAGGACATGGGTGGTGACAGAGGACATGGGTGACAGAGGACATGGGTGGTGACAGAGGGACATGGGTGGTGACAGAGAGGACATGGGTGGTGACAGAGGACATGGACAGAGGACATGACAGAGGGACATGGGTGGCGACAGAGGACATGGGTGGTGACAGAGGGGACATGGTGACATGGTGGTGACAGAGGGACATGGGTGGTGACAGAGGACATGGGTGGTGACAGAGGACATGGGTGGTGACAGAGGACATGGGTGTGACAGAGGACATGGGTGGTGACAGAGGACATGGACAGAGGGACATGGGTGGTGACAGAGGGACATGGGTGGCGACAGAGGGGACATGGGTGTGGGTGACAGAGGGACATGGGTGGTGACAGAGGGACATGGGTGGTGACAGAGAGGACATGGGTGGTGAGAGAGAGGGGACATGGGTGGTGACAGAGGGACATGGGTGGTGACAGAGATGGGTGACACAGGACGTGGGTGGTGACAGAGGGACATGGGTGGTGACAGAGGACATGGGGTGATGACAGAGAGGACATGGGGGCGACAGAGGACGTGGGTGGCATGGGTGACAGAGGACATGGTGGCGACAGAGGACATGGCGACAGAGGACATGGGGTGATGACAGAGGACATGGGGTGATGACAGAGGACATGGGGACAGAGGACATGGGGTGATGACAGAGGACATGGGGTGATGACAGAGGACATGGGTGGGTGACAGAGAGGACATGGGGGGCGACAGAGGACATGGGGTGATGACAGAGGACATGGGGTGACAGAGGGACATGGGGGCGACAGAGGACATGGGGTGATGACAGAGGACATGGGGTGATGACAGAGGACATGGGGGGCGACAGAGGACATGGGTGGCGACAGAGGACATGGGGTGATGACAGAGGACATGGGGGTGATGACAGAGGACATGGGTGGCGACAGAGGACATGGGGTGATGACAGAGGACATGGGGGTGATGACAGAGGACATGGGGGGCGACAGAGGACATGGGTGGCGACAATACCCAGTAACGAACGTAATTCAAAGCATGATATTGTAATGGGTAATCATGGATAAAAAAAATCAATTATACCAAACAGTGAGACTTCAAAATAATATAGTAATTCGTAATTAGAAACTAAAGCAGAATAAATATTTCAGACGATGAACTCAACATCCGCGCTTATCAAATCATATATTTGTTGTTGATTTATCCTGAATCACTTTAAAGAGGTAGTAAGCGGTACTTTAATGCATTTCTGTAGTGTTTTTAAATTTGTAACATATTTACTGCAAAGCAATATCAGTATTTTAATCTGTATAAAGTTCAATTTATCAGTGGCATATTTGGCCAACCTAAGATGGCGCCTGACTATTCATGATGTTAAAAGAAGTAATAAACAAAAATAGTGACAATCGATCTAGTCATCCTTTAAGTGTAGATGACAGTTAACATAGTAACACCTACCTTGGGAGGGCAGGCGGCGCGGGCGGAGAGAGCAGCCCCCAACAGGCTGACGATGGCTGCTGTCAGGCAGGGCAGAGACGCTACCAAAGCTGCCACCTCCACTATATACAGCCTCACCACTGATGAACATATTATAAAGATTAATGCATCATCTCCATCACGCACAACCACACTACCGACGATAAATCAAATGTGGTATAAATATTCCGAGTACGTGAGGATCACAGGGGTAACTTCACTAAAAATGTACCCGAAATCATTACCAGAGAAAATGAAGTCTTCGAGGGGATACTATTATTAACTAAGCATATATATATATATATATATATATATATATATATATATATATATATATATATATATATATATATATATATATATATATATATATATATATATATATATATATATATATATATATATGTGTGTGTGGTATAGGTTATATTCGGTACTTGAGGGAGTGGATTACAGTAGATACATAAATTTTATATAATGAATTAAATTATTTAATCCAGTTATACGACATAAGTATCAAGCTATTTAGATCAATATTTTGCCCAAAAATTATCACCTACGCAAATTATTTATAGTTTCATATCCGTGCACTTCTATACAATACATAGTTTAGCGTCGTGGTATGAAAGTGAATATCCTTGTTACAAAAAGTCTAAATTTGTGTGACTGTCAGAGAGGACGGCGGCAGACAGTCCGTCCAGTTACCAGTTATAAAGACAGGTTGTGAGGAAACAGTCTTTGCCAGTGTTTAGTGTTATTGTTGTTGTTGTTGTCATTTTGTTGTCACCGTCATTTTGTTGTCAGTGTCAGTTTCATTTTGTTATACGTTATCCTCTTCGCCACTGATCAGCTCGTTAGCCACTTTGTCACCGGCATTGTCAGTGTTTTGTTGTCATTGTTATTGGCCTGTGGGAATAGATGTAAAGTGACCATTGACGTAGTAGGTTTTGCCCGTCTGTGTACATAATACCTTCTTTATTTTATAAGTATATACGTATATTAAAACAAAGAGTAAGGGAACACAACTTTGGATGGAATGAACGATCACCCACATTATTTACCCTTTAGGTCAGATCAGTCGTGTTGTGTATTTAAAACAGTCTTTAAGTCATTGTTGTTGTTAATCATTTTCCTCTTGTGTGTGTCAGTCATTGTGGCCGTGATCAAGGCTCACCTGAGGCGTGATCAGGGCTGTGGAAGGTAGAGACACAGGCGAGTGTGAGGTGGCCTGAAAACAGGTAGCCCGCTGCTGCCAGACACACATTGCACACCACTCCAGACACCCAGGCGTGCCCCACCACCCTGCCAGGACACATACATACAAAGGTTAGTAACTTAGTATTATTAAATCATGTAGCTAAGCATTATATATGTAAAAAGTTCAGTATTAGTAACATGGTAGTATTTATATATGGTATTACAGTTACAGGTACTAATTTATGTAAGAATTATACGTGTGTAGGAGAATAACACTGTATACGACTGTAAGTTTCCGTTATCATTGTGTGAGTTGGAGTTAGGTTGGGTCACGAAGAAGAACATTTACAGTAGTTATATCATTTATGTTATTGATCGTCCCTTTAAAAGTCTTAAATCAAGAAAGCAACATCAGTTTGTGCGTGTACTGAACTAGAGGTGAGATAAGACATAATTAAAGAAGTGTCTTATTGTTATTTCGTGGCATGGATTACATATCGCTGAGTCTTAAATGATTCCCAAATAGATGATAGATTTAACCTAACCTGATCGTATAACTGGGATAACAAAACTCGTATAAATTAAACGATCGTCCATGAGGGATGACACCGATCCTTGAGGTGGATCTATTCTCATGACTGATTGTTGTACCTTAATGTCTTTGTTGTCACCTCATTTGATATTCTTTTGTGGAATAAAACTATTACTGCATCACAAACACATATCCTTACAAGTTCGTGTTGACTGATACAAGTACAATTGACTGCACTTATTCCTGGTACAGTATTTGGTGCGTTTTGTGAGATGTGGCAGATCTGTGTTTGTTTACATTGTATTAAAACTCCCAGAATGGCCCTCAGAAATCTTGCCATGTAACCAGACTAACGTTGCTAGATAAGCATTCCACAGTCTGCCACATCTCACAAAACACACCAGTCAGTGTACCAGGTGTAAGTGCAGGTGACTATACATACCGTACTTATCACCCCAAACGAGGTACAATATGTGGGGTAAGGCTGTATCAGTGGGTACTTACAGGGCGTGGGAGAAGGTGGTGTTAGCTGCTCTCAGTCCGAGGATGGCCTGCACCAGCACCAGGATCCCTACCCACACTCCTCCCATGATCACTACTGGTCGACACAGACACGCCGCTACCACCAGCTGCACCACCCATCCGAGGTCAGGACACCGCCAGGGAAAAAGAGTTCAGAAAGGTGAGTGAGTAAAATACTGCTTAGTGTCGAGTCTTTACTTGTCCATTACTACAAGAAAACATTACACCTTTTCTTATAGCACCGGAGAGGCGCTGGAGATATTAAGTACTGTACCTGCAGCCGGTGAGGGAGACAAGCTAGATAGATCTCTGTGTTATTTATTTATATTATACATTAGTGCATCTTTTAATGTGTTGGGTTTGTGGAGTAGAATGTGAAGCAGAGTTGCCGTCTTACCTGACACAGGAAGATGATGGCGGCCACCACTAAGTTGATCCTCGCCAGCTGCCTCACTGTCTTGGCCGAGTACCCGCCCTCGTCCTTCTCCTCTCGCCCCTCTCCTACTACACGCAGTGTTCGAACCTCCTGACACCCGCCATCAAGGCGTTGAAACCCTGGGGACGTGATGGACGGAGGAGGAGGACATCGAGGGTAGTGGCGAGGGGCGGGGGTGGGAGGGACGCCCCCACGCTCACCGCTACACCCCGCTTCCTCTGCTGGTGGGAGGGTCAAGTGGTGGAGATGAAGTGAATTACAGTATGTGCACACGTCCATCTATCTCGGTGATTTTTTAGTTTTTTGCTCATTGGATTATTGAATGTTGGGTGTTGTCTATCCAGAGTTATTATCCAATGTATTTATTGTAGTGACGGGAGACGGAGACAATATTAGCTCAAGATATTTCCTCAAAGATTATTTCGGAGTTCATTAAATCTCTCCCGCACATGCATCTGAGCAGGGCTTTAAAACTTAGTGCAGATGTGAGGCTTCTGCCGGGCTTGTGAACTAATGAGAGGGAAGCTAGCAGATACAAACTTTTTTCGGAGTGAGAGTTGTGAACTGGTGGAACAGCTTGCCAGCGAGTGTTGTGACGGCACCGAGTGTGATCTCTTTCAAGGCCAGACTTGACCAACACTGGAGCAGGTTCAGAAACATTCAGGAGCCAATACATGCACAGTACCTACCAACAGTGCATAACAGAAATGTGACCGATAGCCCAAACGGCAAACTAGCCGATCAGTGGTGAAGAGGATAAAAGTAAAAGTAAGTCATCCTGGCTCACAAATCAAATACACTTCACCTTGCCTTTGCTCCTCTGACGGCCTGCAGACGTCACCCCCCCCATCTACATCATACTAGGACCTTCATGCCGGGTCACCTTGCTCCTCCTCCGCAGTATTCACCCATCGAGACTCGGGGCTAATATAAAACTCTATGCACTTTACAATGAGTTTTTAGGCCCATTTGTATGCCTAACACCCGCCTCCCCCTACTGATTGACTGACTCACTCGCTGATCCACTTGACGGAGTTTTTATATTGGGATTTATTTTATACACAGCGAAGGAGACGATCAACCAGGCACCAACACAGCTGTCTCGGTCACCTTATTTACATCTCTTCATTATTTCGCTGTTCTCTTAGTCTCCTGATTCGCTTCTGCTATAAACATTAATTTTTTTATGTAGGTATTGATATGTGTCATGATCAATTGAGACTAAATAATGGAGAAAAAATTATGTTCTTATACAGCGTTAAGATGCGTATCATTCATAACTCTGTGTCATGGCCCGAGAGAGGTGTGGGAAGGGTTTTCTCCAGGTACTACAGTTTCCTCCTGGACTAACACTGGACAGTAAAGATCATAACAGAGTAACAATAACAGACCAACAAACCTAACAGCAATTAAGCTGATAAGTTGTGAAGTGATAAATATTATAACTGAAAAGGTTGAAAAAGTTTAGCGTCACGGGAGAGGTAAATATATTAAATTATTTGATATTTATATGTAATGAGTAAACAGTCTGCTCCCATACGGTCACTTAAGGTCAGTCCTTCACTCTCTACATAAGTAATTTAACTACCAAACATAACCGTTCATTGTAAGGGGAATTACCGTTCCCTCCCACCAACGAGGTTATGCCAGGAAGACAGTGCTATCCAACACCGGTAGAGGTGACCCATTTAACAAAGGGTCATGACGAACATTCCCCCTTACTGCCTCGTGTATGAAGGGTCAGTCTGTAGTGAACAGTGGTGGGCGTTGACACTGTCCTCCGTACGTTTATGTTGACCCCTCCCCTCTCCCCCTCCTCTTTCCCCCACCTCCCTCCTCCCCCACTCCCCCCCATGTAACACCCACATCCGTGTATTTATCCCCCTCTCTATTATCATGGTGTAATCTATTTTTGTGTAGGTGTATTTTAAGTTATATCTCTGTGTATGTGTGTGAGTGGTGTATGTATCTGTGTATGTAAATGTCGTGTGTGCATGTATGTATATGTGTGTGTAAATGTTATGTATGTTTGTACTGTACATACATTGTGTGTATTTACTAGTGCTGTGTATACAGTATGTGTGTGCTGTGCTGTGAATGTATGTGTGTGTTAAGAGGAAAGGTGTATGCAACTGGTGTCAGGTGTGTAGTGTTGTATGGCGGTGATACATGAGCTGCTGAAGAAGACGACACACACAGGTCAGGTCAGGTCAGGTCAGGTTAGGTCAGGTTAGGTTAGGTTAGGTTAGGTTAGGTTAGGTGGACATTGAAATACTGGGAACCCTGTTGAGAGGTGTGAGGGCGGCTGGTGTATTAAGAGGCCAGCACATAGACTAAGTTTTGTATAGAGGAAAACTGAGATGGTTTGGGTATGTGGAGAGACTAGAGGAGACCAGTGAGTCGAAGAGATACACGAGGCTCTATCAGGGGACGAGAGACAGGGAGAGGTAGGCCAGGAGAGACGGGGAGAGGTAGACCAGGAGAGACAGGGAGAGGTAGGCCAGGAGAGACGGGGAGAGGTAGGCCAGGAGAGACAGGGAGAGGTAGGCCAGGAGAGACGGGGAGAGGTAGGCCAGGAGAGACAGGGAGAGGTAGGCCAGGAGAGACGGGGAGAGGTAGGCCGTACAGAACAGAGAGCTGGCATCAGGAAATCACGACTAACTCACACTAGCATGGAAAATGGCCCCGTTAAAATTTCATAATGATGATGATGAGAGCAGTGTACAGTGTAGGTGTATGAGTGCTAGGTATGTGTGTGTGTGTGTGTGTGTGTGTATATACTGTGTGTCTGTTAGTGCTATTTAGATAGGTGTATGTGTGTGTGTGTGTGTGTGTGTGTGTGTGTGTGTAGAATCATCAGCACCTGGACAAGATACCTTTCGTAGTCATGGCTGCTGGAGTCTTGTTGACATTACGTAACCCTTCCTCCTCACTGTCTGCTGGCCCTGCCGACCCCACTGCGTCTGCTTCGTATACCTACTGTAGTCTGCCGTGTCTGCTGTTTACCTTTGTTGTTGGTAATAATAATAATAATAATAATAGAACTGTTATTAAATTTATTACTAATAACATTAATAATTATAGCAACGATACAAGTCACAGAATTATGGATGATAGTGAAAGGATTATTAATATGAATAATGAGTTTTATTCGTGGTAAAAATTATATTAGTCATTTAATTGTTTGTAGCATTATGAAATTTGGTTAGGGATATATATGCATGTATGTATCTGCACTTGCACACACACACACACACTATGCAAAATTACACCAATTTTCACTTATTTATGGATATCCCAAATAAATAATAAATTGTTTAATTCTCCTAATGTTACTGATGATGTTAACTCTCACACCAAAAAAATATCTTTACGATTTTGTGCCAGATAATATGACACAATGGATGAAGGATTTTGACAACCCGACCGAGACAACAGGAGTCACAGTGTTCATTTTGAAAGTCATCGACCTCCTCCTTGAAGATACTTTTTGTGGTCAGTGTTTTTATTTATGTATTTTCTTCCCTAAGTTACCGATATTTCTCACTACACTGCCGATATATCACCATTTAACCCAACCCCCCCCCCCTCCCTGCCGATATATTTCACAACGGTGCCGATATTTCACTATAAAGATCCCTGCTGCAGATATCTTACCACACTGCCGATATGCCACTATTAAGAAACACATTGCCGATATATTTCACCACAGTACCGATATTTTTCGACAATACCGATATTTTACCTCACTTCAGATATCCTTCACCACACACACACTTCAGTGCCGATTTCCTTCATCACACAGAACCCCCTCCCATTGCCGATATCATTTACCAAACAGACCCCCACCACATCATCGATATATTTTCTTACTGCCGATACATCTCACCACAAATCCGATATCTCTTACCACAATTCAAATATCTGTCACCATCATTCCGATATGTCTCACCACAAATCCGATATCTCTCGCAATTTGATATTTTTCACCAAATTCCGATACATCTCACCACAAATTCGATATCCCTCACCGCAATTCCGATATTCTTCCCCACACACACACACACACACTACCCACCACACTACCGATATCTCACCTCACTGCCGATATATCTCACTATATAAACACCCCCACTCCCTGACTGCCGATACCTTACACTGCTGGGAGCTGACTGAGGGCCGACACACACACACACACGGGCAATACAAACTAGGTGTTGGCCAGAATTTAATGTGACTGCCTTCCCTCCCACTCTCCCTCCTCGCTTGGGTTACCGGATGATGTTTGTGAGTCTTTCTGTTTGTTTGTATGTGAGGGGGTAAGGGTGTATGTTTATGTGTAAGAGAGAGAGATGAAGTATGTGTGTGTGTGTGTGTGTTTGTTTGTAAGAGAGAAAGTTTACGTATGTGTGTGTGTGTGTGTGTGTGTGTATGTGAGGGAGAGTGAAAGTGTGTGTGTGTGTGTGTGTGTGTGTGTGTCAGTTCAAATTATGTACAGGAGTGTGATGGGAGTGTTTTTGTGTGCGTGAGAGAGAATGTGTGTGTGTGTGTGTGTGTAGTGTAGTATGTATGTATGTATGTATGTATGTATGTATGTATGACTAGCTTATATGGAAACTCTACTGTGATCTATATCGTAAATCTATTTCCTTAATAAGTTACATAGAAATATATATTGAATGTGTAGTCAAAGGTGTAGACGAGATACCATTAACGCCTTCACTCAGGTACCAGATACACCTGATGTAGGCGTTGTATATATTCTCTCTCTCTCTCTCATAGATAAAAGGTTAAATTGTTGTCAGTGTGGTGTGATAGGTTGTTGTCAGCTTGAGGTGTCAGGTGTGCCAGCTTCCTGAGTTGCTGGCAGTGGCAGGGTATGACTCCATGGCCTCTGCACCACGTCCACGCCCCTACCGGAAATCCTAACTCCAGCTTCCTTCCTGCCTTCCTCCCCACGCTAGCCACCCACGCCCACTGCACCTGTACGCCCATACACCCACACACACCAAGCTGCACCATTAAATCCAAGTGTCAGTTACAATCATTCGTATATATATAAATGATTAGCCCTGTTTATCATCTTCAACGTGGTGATCTCTTGTGTGTGTGTGTGTGTGTGTGTGTTTGTATTAGTAACTACAACTTAAAGAAAGAATGACATACTCAAAATATAATGTTCTTATAATAAATTGTGTTCTTTTTGAATTAATAAAAATATCAAGGTTAAAATGGGCGCGCGAGTGGTTATATAATACCTACATTGTATAAGCCCTTTCATAAATGTTCATATGGAGTATTTCTTTATACCAAAATACATATATAGTGAACACATAAGACCATTAGTGATTTATGTGATTAACAAGAATTGTGTTGTTAACTCATGGAATAACATAACTAATAATATGAATTCACCTTGAAGTCAGGAGGCCATGAGGAGGAGTGGCACATGTTGAGGTGCAGTGAGGAGGAGTGGCGCATGTTGAGGTGCAGTGAGGAGCAGTGGAACATGTTGAGGTGTAACCAAAGCCTGACCTGGTCTATTACCTAGCAACAGTGCAAAACCGAGACATTAATAACCCTCTAATAAGGTGATAATGGGTGAAGAAGGTAAGTCACTCAACACGAGGATGACCATACTAAACTACAGTAGTTACCCAGGCAGTACATGAGGTAGTTTTCTCTGTACAGTTAAACAACCCTAAATACCACTATATTCCTCAATATTTTAGACTGTGGAGTGAAAGAAGTGTATTTTGACAGTAAGAACCTCTGGAGATATATATTTCACCCTGATAAGTGGTTACCATCTTATGTAGGACTGATTAGAACAATTTCCTTAAGGGGGGAGTAATTGTCAAGCTGTGAGGACCAACAACTGTGCTGATTAAAGGGAGGAATTACAACTAACAAACCAATAGGAAATTAGAGAGTGTTAAGTGGTTATAAAATATATATCATGACTTATAAATGATTTGATTATATATTCCCATTACTACCTTAAGTGAAAGTAAACTATGTACTGCCTCCTGATATACTGATAATGGATTCATAAAACTCATGTATTTTACTTCTTATCTGTACAGGTTAATCATGTCGTGATGTAGGTCAAGTATTGTCTGGAGGAAGTATCTTACAAGTTTAAAAGGAGTTAATAAGAGTTGGTGACATCGCCCCTACTGACCCCCATAGTGGATGATGGGGTTGTGTTAATTATTACTACAAGATACACCAGGATGTGGACGCAGTTAACTGGTGGTAAGAGCACTGGCTGTGTATTATAGGTTGGCAGGGTTATAATAGGTGATATTGGTATTTTATAATTGGCTCAGTCTGATATGTAGTGGATATAGTTAGGTTAGGTTAGGTTAGGTTAGGTTAGGTTAGGTTAGGTTAGGTTAGGTTAGGTTAGGTTAGGTTAGGTTAGGTTAGGTTAGGTTAGGTTAGGTAAGGTTAGGTAAGGTAAGGTTAGGTAGGTTTCTTTGGTTGGTTAGGTCAGGTTCTATTAGGTTCTGGTAAATGTTGCTTCTTTTATAATAAATCTCTATGCTCAACAGATATGTTTACAGCTACACAATGATCAACTCGCGGCGAAATAAATGTCAAATGCCGTCAAAGTCACGGTCAAATATAGTTCTCACGTTCGCTGGTAATGAATGCTTTGCCAATCAGAGCGCACTCACGGTAAAATAGTGTTAGTAGAAATTTAGCCGGTCATGGCAAAATATCCACTGCCCTTCTGATAATGTGTAATATTAATTGGGAATTTTGGGTAGTAGTGTATGTACAGTAATGCCCTTTGGAAAATATTGCCCTGATTTGCATTACTTCATCTCTAACTACCCCCACTCTAACTACCCCCACTCTAACTACCCCCACTCTAACTACCTCCACCCTATTAGTTTTAAGTCAGGTTGGGATGATTATGAAAATGCACAGGTTCTAAACACTCCCACAATGTTGAAATTGTCATATACTACTACAGCGTACATTTGGCTGGTAATACTCTGGAACAAAGGTGAACCAGAAACTGTACAACACTTTTATATAGAAGATAACTTCTTTCTTGCCTCAAGAGTGTCCCCAAAAATGAAAGTATTTGCCATTTTTTTAATATTATTTTGGTAATTTTTTCATCTTCACAATATGTGTACAGTATGTTGACATGCTACCTCCTGGCCACACCACATTAACGGGTCCGACTAATTACCCAAATGTACCCAAATATAGCCGGAATGAAGTCAAATAATGGTCCTAGATGAATAAATCAGACTGCTAATCACTTCTCGACTAGTATTTGGTGTCAGAAAGTCACAACAAATTGGTAAACTTAATTTAATCTGAGTTAATAGATCAAGTGCATGTACCTAACCTAACCTAACACAGCACAACTCAGATTAAATTAAATTTACCAATTTTTTTTACTTTATGACACCAGATAATAATCGAGAAGTGATTCACAGCCTGAATTACGCTTGTACGACCATCATTTGACTTCATTGCGGCTACATTTGGGTAATTCCTCGCTCCGTCGGTACATGCACGCGATCTATTAACTCAGATTAAAGTAAGTTTTCCAATTTGTTGTGACTTTCTGACACCAAATACTAGTCGAGAAGTGATTAGCAGTCCGATTTATTCATGTAGGACCATTATTTGACTTCATTCCGGCTATATTTGGGTACATTTGGGTAATTAGTCGGACCGACATTAACTGTTTCCAGAACGTGAAACATTTCAAAGACAGATAAACAAACAATTCTCAGTGACCATCTATGCTCTTGAACACTTTCAGCAATTGTTATGTTACAGTATATATATATTATAGTAAATAAGATGAACCAACCAATATTTTCTAACCTAACTCACCTAGGATGTACAGAAGGATTGAGCGACAAAACCATCTCAGTTTTGTCTGATGATTTTTTTAAAGTTGGCGGAACATAATTAAAGATTTACCTCAACTACCTATAAGCAGTTGGTGTGCCTGACTGGGTAGCATGATTCATCTGAGGCGAGAAGCCCCGAGTCTCTATACAGATGGACACTCGGGATCAGTTTCTCCAGGTCTGCCAACAGCTCAAAAGTTTCCCAGAGAGTTGTGTTGGAAGACTCGAGTATTCCAAAACTGAGAAGATAGTTTAGTAAAATTATAGTTTTGGTCATCCCTGCATTTAGATATCCAAACTAATCTAGCCTAACCTAACCAACCTAACTTAATGTAACCTAACCAACCTAACTTTATGTAACCTAACCATCCTAACCAACCTATATTTTACCTAACTGAGGAACCTTGTCCCCCAGATCCCCCTATAAATTTTTAAACTATTGATTGCAAAGATAAAATTCCCCAAGATTCGGTTGGTGGCAACAATACTGTACATTACTGTAATACCTCTTCTAATAGTTCTCTGATTTTCATCTCAGTATATCTCGGTTATGGGTAAACTGCAAGAAAAGTGTCATTGAAGAAATTTGTCTTCTTTTTATCTGAAATTATCATTAAACATGCAAAATATTCCTAAATCTAGTTATACTGGTATGTCCTTTAATATAAATTGACCGATAATAAACAGAAGTCGATAATCAAATCCAATTTTTTTCTCCCCAAATTACAAATGTTCCAAATTTTCTGTGGCAGGAGTGTACCAGAGTGCAGAGAGTTATGAAACTAGTGACAAATATTATAAATATTTTTATTATGTAAATTTAGAAACAATCTGAGGTGCTTTATATACCAGTGTCCTATACTGTACTGTAGAGGGTACCTGAAAATATGACTTGAATGGAGGTACAGTATGTGACAATTGTCTTCAACTTGGGGTGACTTCGGACACCTCAAAAATGACTTGGGAGGCACAATCCAAATATTATTCAAGGGTGGATACAGGGGGGTCCTGGGGGGTCCGGACACCCCCCCCCCCTTTCACCAGAAAATTTCAGTACTTTTTCTTTAATGCAGTATTGTACTCTGGCATTTTTGTACAGTATACTAAAAGGTATTTACTATTGACTTCAGAATATCCCCTAATGTCAAGTGCACATGGCTACTGATTACAAAATGATGTTAAGCAAAAAATATGTAATCTACAGCTCGGCAGGTAAAAGAAGAACATGCGTACTGGGCACCGGTGCCCCATTAAATACTGTATGTTTTACTGTTTCTGCTTTTGTATAATCTTTAGAAATGAGACCCTAACAGATCCAAGTACGTAGCATGTTATTTTCATGTACAATACAATTTTCTTGAAAATTTTCTCTTCTCTGACCAATACAGTAGAGTGCAGTAATTTTGTTGCTGCATATTTTGTGTTAATGATGCATAGAAGAGTCTGAATTCTTCTGCTTAGCTTATTGTTTTACTTTCAGGTTGTGATCATATATGAAAAATTCCATTACGTATTTCATTTGTTAACAGGGCGGGGACTGTGGCTTGAGTGTGAGTAACAGCCGAGGAACCCCAGCAAGGAGTTGGCACCATGATCGCACCACAGGACGAGAGGACTGTTATACCAGCCCATACCCCAAAACGCCTCGAGGACCAGGCCTTAGAAAATTTTGTCCACATGGTGGTGCAGCACTCAGTTCCTGCCTCACTGCACTGTGACCTGTTGCCTCAGGTGTCTGGTAAGAATTGATATGATTGTATATTTATGGCATCAAGGAATCTTAATGAGAATGGTGGGCATGTTACAGATTTATATTGGTTAGGAAGAAATATTGGCCTCTTTAGGATCATAGGTGTTGACCATTATGCAATGGGTTAGGGACCTCAAAATGCTATCATTAAGTGATCGATCGTATATTGATATTAATAACTTATGGGGAAAAATAGATTACGTTCCTGAGACCCTGAAGAGCCCTAACTAGTTCTATATCCTGCTGCTATAATGATTAAATATACAAATTATAATGTACCTATATCTTTCTGTACTTTGAAAAGATATATTAAGAATTTCACTAAATGTTTCTCAGCAAGCAGAAAAATTTAAGATTCAACATCCGTCTTTGTGGTCCCTTGGTTAATGAACACAGTTCGTTCCAGAGGGTCGTTTGTTAACCGAATCCGTTGTTTCAATGGGATATTGGGAAATTGGTTCCAGCTCACCGAAAATTACTTACAAAGTAAAAAAAAAATGCAGTAAAGTACACTTACTTTGAGGTGTGTATGTAGAAGGTTCGTGGTACTCAAATGATCTTGAAAGGCCTCATTTATCTGTTGGTATATACAATACAGTATATGTTAATGCTACACTTACAGGGTTTTGAATAATTCATATTTTAAGGCTTAGCATTAACAAAGTGTCATCAACCTTTGTTTTCTATGATACAGGTATTGGAGAAAACATTCACAAAGATGACTCCCCAAACTATGGTGTTTTATGGACAATGGAGCGTAATATGAGTGAGTGTGGGCATTAATAGAATATAGGTAGTGTACTACTGTGACCATGACAGTATTGTATCATTTGCAGAAGTAAGGTGGTCAGATGATCCCAACAAACTGGACAGAATTATTATGACAAGTGAGAGCACATGGCCAGAGCTGCTTCCTCAGAAACATTTGTTTATGGTAAGTCTTTACTAAGTTACTCGGTGTCTATTGTGGACTAAAGCATCGGACCTTTCACTTGATCTGTTTAAGGAGAATTAGAGTTGTTGAGAGGAATAACTCCCCAGATTTGATTTCAACTTTCCTAGTACTGAACAGTATTTTTCACAACTTGGATTTAAGCAGCATGTAATCAGTGGCAGTCTTCAATTCATCATGATTTTATACTAAGTTCAATTTTGAATTTGAAAGTCAATGTCCTACAACATGTCCATTTGCTTGATCCCCTAAATTCAGTGGTGGGATTGATTAGCATTCATTGGGAGGCAGTCACTCTTGTTCCTTATCTTGTCTTACTTCCTTATTACTCACCTCTCCCTTCCTGTGTTGTTGTATTGGGGAGACAACAAGCATCATTATTGTACTGTACTTCCTATCATTATGTTCTAAAGACAAAGCAAACAACAACAACTTCATTCTGATAGTAAATCCAATCTTCAGAGTTTTTTTTTTTAGGTATTTGAGATGTTGCTTGTAGGTTTGCAATATAATAATAAATCAAAAGAGTACAGTATTTGAAATGATTTTTATGGCAGTGTAAAACAATGAGGCACTGTAATGAGAATGTATCTAACATCATCCAGTAATGTTGACGTGTATAGAGACTAATAGTAGTTTAAACACTCTTAATTTATCTGCTGGAATTCAAGATGGAAGACACTCATTTGGACTATTGTTTTAGTTAAGGTCTCTGATGGGATTGGATAGTCATTAATGTTGTATAACCAGTAAGGTCATAAATCATGTATTATTGGTAAGTTGTGTCTTGATGAAACGTGGCACAGTACTAGGTAAATCCTTGAATGGGCTTACATCTGAGCAAACAGTGACCTTATCTGGGGTGACTGATGATTACTTTGAGACCTAAACCTTTCTGATGTTTATACTTTCTGAAATAAGTAGAGTATAGAGTCACATTTTCCTCGTATATTGTGTCAGATCCATTACTTCTTAAATAGTGAAGGAATTATAATGAAACTAAACAGATGTGTCTCATGATGTAGTCACAGACAAGGTCCTCCCTTTAATAGGCATCAGTCAGTATCACCAACACCCTTTAACTACCTGGTACTCAGACTTTTTACTTAGTTTAAAAGCATAAGGCGGGAAAGGAATACCAGAATCCACCCAAAAACTACCAAAACACATTTATATCTTGGGAACTATGTGTCAGTTTTTTTTTTTTTTTTCATCATTTCATCCTGATTCAATTACAGTATCTTTAGTCTTGAGCAACCTTACTTAATATATTTGGCAGAGAAACTTGTCTGATCTCTCCCTGCACTATATTTGTTCAAAGAAGTACAGTCGGGTGGGGGGGCCTTCCTCCAGTAAGGGTGTAGGAGGTACAAATTTTTTTTCTAAAGTTTTATGAACCAAGAAAATGGTCCTTCATATTCTTGATATAAATTGTCAGTGTCTATACATACTCATCATTGATAGACACAAGTACAGTTCTGGAAAATTTTTGGTTTTTGTTTAAATAAAAAGAAAAATAGATGAATTCTTGAAAAGTTGAGAGTAGTTTAGTCTCCTGCCATTGGAGATGATGAAGCTGAATACTGTACCTGTTGGGTGTGGAGTGATGTGAAATACCTCTTTTACTTACATGAATGAGAGAGGTGGTTTGGTTATGTTTTTGTGTGAATGAGTTTCGATGTTCAGTATTAACAACTGTTTGAATTGTCCATTTACTACCCACTCTCTGGAGTGTGTTCTGTCATGATTTTCTACATGAGTTTACCTTTCTTCTGTCCATTTTATAATAACTCATATTTTTTAAAACTGTTCTGTATCTCAGAAAAATTTCATGAATTTTGCCCGTAAATTCATTTTGAAAAGTACAATCTGTTTCCTTTATTTAATTTAAGTAAATATTTTCTATAAAAATTTTCATTATAACTGAAAGGTTAAATATCATGTTATGTTTCAGGAACACCTAAAAAAATTGAAGCATTGGTGGGATGATAATGAGTGGCTTGGCAAGCAAAATTCACAGATTAGACGACAAATAAAGGAATGCTTCACCATGGAACTAGAGCTAGTGGACCCACATTGCAAGTATCCTCTATTCAAGTTCTTGCTTCATCTTATGTTTTCAACAAAGGCTCTTGGTGCATCTGATACTGCAGAGTTTCCACATTATCCTAAGGTCAGTAGCTCTTTTAGCCTTGTATTTCAAAGACTTCACTTGTTGATGTTTAATATGAGTTTATGTATGGACTATCAGGGTGTTCAGTTGGCTCAAATATTGGAGATTCCTGGATCCAAGGGTGAAAGTACTGTACTGTACCAAGTGCCCCACTGAATGCTCTCATATCCCCAAAGTCCACATTATAAAGTCAGGAGTCTGTCTTGTTCTCACTTTACAGTAATGTTGAAATTTTCACAAAATATTGTACAGTAATAAAATGAACACAGTAAACAACTTAATATAGGTTTTTACAGTAATTCAACACAGTCAAATGGACACTGCTGCAGTGATGTAACAGCTGATGTCTCTAACAGATGATGTTCTCGGTCAGTACAGTGATCCCTCGGTTAACGAGCGCCTCGGTTAACGAAATTTCGGTTAACGAATTACCTTCCATAAGATTCTTCACTTCGGTTAACGAGCAATCCCTCGATTAACGAATTCCTTGCGAGCGCCCCTCAACATGTTTTCGCTTGCACATTAGCTGTCGTATTAGTCCGCCAATACAGTAATCGGTTCTAGGGCTTAAATTCCTTACTATTTTAGTAAATATCAAGAAGTTTGTACTATTCAATAATTTTCAAAGTCATATTTTAAAATTTTTAGTAATTTTAACAATTATTTAACATAATTTAAGTACAGGGAAACTAGTTTTTAGCACGCCAAACAGCCTGTCAACACACCATACAAGCATCAATTCTTTTCAACATAAACGCTTTTTTCTGTGTTTCCAGTCAAATTATTGGTCATTTTGAAATTTATTTTACATATTGATGATATATAATGCAGTGTTGATTTAAAGAAAATAATCTTGAATTACACCAAGTGAACTTAAATTTTATGGGTGAAATGGCAGCATGGGGTGACTTCTCTTCCACCCCAATGCCTTCTCTTCTCCCTTCTCCTACACCCCTATTCTAATTCCCATCATCATCATCATCAACCAGGAGCCTTCTACATGCACACCTCAAAGTAAGTGTACTTTACTGCATTTATTTTTAGTTTGTATGTAATTTTCAGTGAGCTGGAACCAATTACCCAAAAACCCATTGAAACAATGGTTTCGGTTAATGAATTTTTCGGTTAACGAGCAACCTTCTGGAACGAATTGTGCTCGTTAACCGAGGGACCACTGTATAGGCAAGCAGTCAGAGCCATAGCCAGGCATATTTGCACCCTGGGCAAGTTTCATTAACAGTGGCCCCTTCTCATTTCTTGGTTTAAAAGATATATACTCTACCGTTTCTTCTCAACCAAAAATCTTCTTTATGATATAAACTATTTATGAAAGATTTGATACCGTACAGTATTCTAAACATATATTAAATTTAAGAATTTTTAATAATATTCTTTTATCTATTGTTTCACATACTGTATTACCTAAGAATAAATGATGATAAATTGGACTACCGTACTGTACAGTAGAACGTCGATATAACACGAGATACGTTCCAAGAGAGGTCGCTTTAAACCGAATTCGCACTAAATCGAAGTGTTGTTTCAATGGAATTATTTAGATTGGTACAGTGATCCCTCAGTTAACGAGCGCCTCGGTTAACGAGATTTCGGTTGACGAATTACCTCCCATAAGATTCTTAACTTCGGTTAACGAGTTTCTTACGAGCCGACCTCAACAAGTTTTCGCTTGCACTTGGCGGTCAACCAGCTGTAGTATTAGTCCGCCAATACAGTAATCGGTTCTAGGGCTTAAATTCCTTACTATTTTAGTATATATCAAGAAGTTTATACTATTCAATAATTTTAAAAGTTTAATATTAAATTTTGTATTCCTTTTAACAATTATTGAAGATAATTGAAGGTAAAGTGACTAGTTTTATGTGCGCCATCCAGCCTCTTAACACAGCAAACAAGCGTTAGTCTCTCTCTGTTTTCAGTGGAGGTAACATCTTGCTTGAGACTCTCTTCAACTAAACGCTTTTTTTCTGTGTTTCTAGCAAATTATTGGTCATTTTGAAATTTATTTTACATATTGACAATATATAGCGCAGTACAGTGTTATTTTTAAGAAAATATTCTTTATTTACAGCAAGTTTATACCTAAAAGATCACGTGTTGACATTGTTTGACTCCAGCATGGGGCCTAAGAGATCAAGAAAAGCGATTTCAATCCAAACCAAGCAGGAACAAGGCATTAGAACAAATGCGCTATGCAAAGAATATGGCATGTCGACATCAACTGTGTCGACAGTTCTTGCACAGAAAGACAAATTTAAAGAAGTGAAAGTGAGAGACAAATCTACCAGAGTGTTTAAAAGTAGATCCCTAATTGCAGAAACTGAGAGGTTACTTCTCATCTGGATTAGGGAAAAACAGATGAAAGGTGATTCAGTTTCTACTGAATTCATTTGTGAAAGAGCCAGGGAGATATACGAACAGTCTACCCGCAAGTCTACTCCGTGCTTTGTCATTAATAAAGCAGAGTAGACTTGAGGGTAGACTCACATTTTTAATAAATTTATTTCTGATTATTTGTGAGAGGATTTTCCCATTATTATTTATTTGTATGTGTTTTGTATGTATGTGTGTGTGTGTGTGTCTACACACACACACATATATACAATACAGGTAAAGGAAATTACTGTACTGTCTCTAGAAAGAATGGCTCCCTGTCCCGTCCGTGAAAATGCCGGGAACTTTAAAACTACCTGCTGACATACTTGGGTACATCCAGGGTGTCATCCACGAATAATAGAGAACCATGAAATAAAAATTCGCGAATTATCTGGGCATACTGTACTATGGTTTATTATATGCTTTCCTTGGACACACGCTCACGATAGTGTCCACTCGACATAATTATCCAGTTTCAGACAATTGTTTCTTTTTTTTATTTCTCCAGATTTATATCCTTGATCTTTAATGTGATGGTCAGCATACAGTAGTCATCTTATATGTGAGTGATCCAGGATTATGTCCCCAAGCATGGTGAAACTATGGGCAGGTTTAGTCACTCCAATGCCTCTGTTGACCCAGCAGTAACTGGGAATCTGGATATTAGTAAAGTTGTGGATCGTGTTCTGGGGTAATGTTTAACCAGTGCAGTTGGCGAGTTGTCTGGTCTTCTTGGATTATTCCTTTACACTGGATCATACAGCTCGTTTAACATAGGGTGTGGTTATTGTGATGTTTATAAATTCACGCCTAAGTGGCCCTAGGGTTGGCCATCCTCAAATATGAGGGGCAACCATTATTTTTTTTTTTTTTTTATTCCTCAAGACAAGGTTTAGGAAAATGTTTCTGTGATTGCATCCATGATAATTGTTTAGTGTTCCTTAAGTCATAAAACCAGGGCAACGTTCTTTAATTTTCGTGGCATAGGTTGAATGTCCAGGTGGAGGAAAGTACAGTACTTTATATAGGATATTTACCGTATTTACTTGACAACTCGACTACAGTACTCTTGTAACTCGTTTCCCTCCTCCACACCCAAGTGAAGGTGTTTGTTCGACAGTGGTGCTATTCATCAAGAGTTGCTAGATTTGACTGGCATTGATGAAGAGTGTTGAGGCTGCCAGCAGTGTTGACAGTGAGACAGACAATGTCGCTCACCTCCCTTCCCCACCCCACAGTGGGGTCGGGAGCTCGTGGTTGCTGTGGGCGTAGGTGACCAAGTGCACGCCAGTCACACCAGTACACTTTGAGTCACTGCACTAATTTTATGCCTGAAATACCAGTTTTCGACCGTGAATTATTATTATTTTTTTCTGAAATATGCTCGCATGGAGCGTCCAGCGGGTCTTATGTCGCCCAGGACAAAAGGATTAATAACCTAATGTAAAAATTTATGTCTTTATTTTCTCTCCAGAAAATTTAACACTTCTAGGAATATTAATATGTAATCCTTCAGTAAGAAATTTAGCATTCCTGTACTTGGTGATTATGCTATGAACTGCAAAACTCATAAACAAAGAAATTAAATAGTTTTGAAAAAAATGGTATCAAAATCAGCTTTGTAATAACAAATGAACTGCTAATAGTACTTTGTACAGTAATTTCACATTTTCTTTGGACTGGGGGAGTTACCTGAAGTATAATACCAATTGTGAACACATATTTTCTGGAATTATAATGTGAATAATTGTATTTTGTAATATATCTAAGGCTTCTTTTATGGTGTCAGTTTCAAATCAGTTTGGTACTTTTTTTAATAATTGGATTGTGATTAAAGTTAGTCAAATTAAATAGGAAGAAAAGGGAGGAACTTTTATGTGTGTTGGTGACTGGTGAAGAGTTATTCTGAGTAGAAGACAAGGTTGATAGAAGCAAAAGAAAACAATAAGAAAAGAAGTAGGGAGATAGGAATGTCTAAACAATATTGTAGAGTTAAGAACATTTTCCCCTATGTTGGTTCATTTTAACTGTATCCAGAGACAAGAATTGTCAATGGGAGAACCTTCTCACATGGTCAGACTCCCATGACCAGTGTAGGCCAGGCAGTATGCTATAACACTCATTACTAAGTACAGTTCACAGTGTAAATAAGTGTGTGCTCATTTGCAGGTGCAGCTAGAACTCCGTCGTAATGGCTGTCCAGTGTATGCAGATGTTTTGAGGTCTTTAAAGCCGTTTGTGATTGAAGAATTATCAACGCAGTATATTATTTTTGGAGACACTGAGCCATGGATCGTCATAATTGAAAATTCTCCATTCCTAAAGAAAGTGCACTTACGCAAAAATATCTGCGAAGAAATCCTTCTGTGCATAGGACAAAACTGTCCTCAGCTAGATACGTTTATACTGGAGCAAGTGTTTGGCAGCCTGATGGTTCCAATTGATTGTCTGTACAAGACTTTCTTCTCAGGCCTTGATTACGAATCGGTTAATACCTTAACAAGTGGAATCCCTTCAAACATGCAGAAGTATTTATCTTTCCCCAGGCTAAAGTTTGTTGACCTGGGATCTACAAGTCATTTCCAAAAGGTTGTTGTGAAGAAACAATCTTTGACAGAATTTTTGTATAATCTTCTATTTTTTTACCCAGATATTGGCAGTATATCATGTCATTATCTGCATCCCTTTGTGCCTCTGCTACCCACTAGTTTACCGGAGCATTGTCACTCTTTATCCTATAACATTAAACACATTGATCTTATTGGGCTAATGCCTTGGATCCAACACTTATTCCAAAATATATACTATCATTCAGATGGAAAGAATCATGTTGAATCTGCTGTTTCAACCTTCAGACAGTTGCAACACTTAACACTTTGTCATTGTATGAGCATTGATACAAGTGTTGAGAGCATTCAAGAAAATGCCAAATTTGCAGAAATTTGGATTCCAAAGTTTAGGTGTAAAAAATTGACAATTCATTTGTCATTCACACCACCTGAAGACATGAGGAATGGTGAAACTCTCTCTTTGTATATTCCACTCTTTAGAAGTATTGGACACAGCCTTTGTGTATTACATTTTCATTTATTTGTAAGCATAGATGTGTGTAAGATATGTCAGCTTATATCTTTGTGTCCCAACCTTGAGCTTCTTGGAATTAGGTTACTCGCAAAAGTCAGTTTATCTGCTGAAGAAAACTTTAACATCCAAAGACTTCCTCATCTAACTTCTCTGAGTGTTGCTTGTTCTGCTTGGCTAGACTCAAACATTGTCAATTCTCTGGTGGAGAAACTGATCTCTGCTTCCCCTGTCTTGACTAATTTAGAGCTTATGCTAGCACATGGACCATGTGAGTGGCTGATGGGGATGGCAGTTGATAAAATGCTTAATGGAATCCGAACTTTACGGCTCAGTTTTGGTACTCACTGTGTCAATGATTGGGGAGATGACTTTTCAGTGGAAGTTGGTGCTTCATTTTATGTTCCATTAATAGAGTTGCTACCAGATCTTGAGGTGCTAATGCTAGGTATACATCACATTGATGTGCTCACACAGTTAAAGTTGACCTATCGAACTTCCCAATTCAAGATTGTTGTAAGAAGGAAGCCATATATTGGCTATGATGTCCTCAACCCCATGTAGATAAAAACTAGTATTAAAAGGTACTACTGTTTTCAAATATGACTCACTTTATTAACCTCACAACCTATGTCTCCTTCAACAGTAAAGGAGGAGGCAGAGAGTATTAACACGTTCACCCTATTTTGTACTTGGAAATATTTTGCTAATGCTCCCTCTGTACACAAAATAGAAACTTCAGTGACAGCAGGCACAAGTGTAAATGTGGAGAGCTAAGAAAATAGATACCAAGATTCTTCAGTTGCTTGATGATGATAACATCCTTGACTACAACTGTGCAAGGAGTCACCCGGCAGTCAACATGGATGGTGAGTCGGTTCAAGTGGATCTCAAGTGCCTTTTCTATCTGTAGTCACAGATAGTTTGAAGGTACAGTATGTTGTTATCTTCTTGTCGTGCAATAATCCCTCACTTATTTAAAACTTGTAAGGGCTTCTTCTCAGGCATGCAAACCCTTAATTAGTAATACCTTTGGAAGTTGTGCCATCAAGGGGAGATCCAAGAATTTTCCAATGGACACATTCACACAACTATAAGGCGATGTACAGTAATCTAGGAATGAAAAGACACTTCACTGTGTATTGACACCACTGTAGAAGGTATCTGCTGCCCAGACAGCCTTCATTTGGCAGGAGAAATACAGAAACAAGACTCAGACTATCAGATATCAAAGACATCATTCTGTTGAGTCTGTTGCATGAAAAACAATTGGATGAAGCTTAGGCTTGATGATGACTTTTTTCATGTCACACATCAAGGCCAAGTAAACTTTGAGGATTACATTGCAAAAATGGACAGTAGTTTCAATCTATGACCTTGGCTGAGGGATATTCGTTAGGCCTACCCACAATAAATACATATGTATGTCCCAGGAGAGGAACAACTGAATTAAAGGTTCTTTTGAGAATCTGAAGGATATACATAAAGAGGAGAGATAAGGAAGAGGAGGATGTAGGAGACTGCTGAAGAGTATGTGCAAAGGATAGTAAAAAGTAGCAGTGTCAGTAATACTGCACTTGGCATTAACTACATCAGGAGGGAGAATAATTATAGCCATTCTGAAATAACAACATTGCCAGGAGATGTGAAACAAATCTGGGTGTTGTTTTTTTATGTTAGAAATGGCTTAATATCACATACCATCCAAAGCCCCAGAGTTATTATGGACAGTACTTGTTACCTATACTGTATATACTGTTTTAATCACCACCTGACATCTTTCATACACACAAATAATTCATAAACATTGATGTACTAATGGTTTTTCCCATCTTCAGTATGCAGTAGTACCCTGATTTACGCTGTCAATTGAACCCACAGGGTACCGCGTAAAGTGAAATCCGCGTAAAGTGAACAACAGAACATATGGGATTAATTCCAATAGAGACTGGCCCGACCCCCAAACTCCACTTTTTGACGACACACAACTATGTTGTAGTAAAAATATTATCTTAACTTTATGATGGTATGCACACACAATTAATATAGAAGAGGTTAGGTTAGGAAAAATAAAGGTTAGGTTAGGAAAACTAAAGGTTGGGTGTAACACTTACGTTAGTAGAAGAGATGGGTCGGCATACGGGGATGGAGGTTGGTTCCGAGGCAGAGGGCAGATTAATGGCCCTCAGGTGAATCACCATTACTAGGTGCATCACCATCACTATCAGTTATAGTTGCCAGGGCCTCCCTGACAAATCCCTCAAAGTCACTTTCACTGTCACTATCACTGGCTCTGGCTGGCTGTGGTGGGTTGCGGGCGAAGAACTCGGTAATGCTTTTTTGACGGCTAGTGTTGATGTTGTCTTGATACACCTTGATGTACGGCTCCATAGCCTGCACCAGCCGGGTATGGAAGACTTCATAGCGGTCATCGTCAGGGTCGTTGGAAAGGAAGAGCTTTAATTTCTCTGCACACTCGATGGCACCCTTAATATTACTATGCGTTAATTTGTGTTCTTCTGGGATTGACGCACCACCTTCCTCTTCACTGACGTGATCATCTTCCAACATCTCGTCGGCAGTCATTTCAGGATCTCTGATCACCTCCAGGATGTCTTCGTTGGTGGTCTCGGAGAAGCCTTCAGCTGTAATACTGTGAGCAGCTTCTCTTGCAAGGTCCAATGCCACTGTCACAGACTGAACCTCACCAGTCACAGGTTGACTCCGCCTCTCACCTGGTATGCCATGCAACACATGCCTCCATGTGTGACGAATCGTAGCTATAGACAGCTGATCCCATGCCTCCACCAAGAAGTCTACAGCTTGTTTGACGTTAAATTTCTTCCAAAACTGTTTGACGAGAACTTCTTGAGTCACCACCTCTTGTTCCTTGTCCTCATCGCTTTTGCTCTCGCTATCGGTGTCACCCAGCTTACGCAACTCATCCTTGGTGTTGGTACAGTCGTTCAGGAGCTTGAATTTCTTTGCCGAGTATGCAGCTTTAACATTGCAGATCAACTCCTGGTCCATGGGCTGGATTAATGACGAAGTGTTGGGAGGAAGGAAGACCACTTTTACGTTGGGGTGACGATCCATAAGTAGGGGCGAGTGTCCTGGTGAGTTGTCAAGGAACAACAAAATCTTGAATGGAACATTTTGTTGCTCGCAGAATTTCTTCACGTCGGGAATGAAACAGTCATCAAACCAGGAGAGTGACAGAGCAGAGAACATCCACGCCTTGCGTGCGGTCAGCCAGTGGACATTAATCTTGCTCATGTCCACGTTCTTGTAGGCGTGCAGCTTGCGGGCTGTGTGAATCACCGATAACTTTGGTTTACAGGTACCGGAGGCATTGGTGGTAAAGAGGACGGTGATGCGCTCCTTCTGCAACTTCCGACCCCGAACCTTGCTGGCAGACTGGACAACAAAGGTCTTGGTAGGCAGCTTTTTCCAAAAAAGGCCGGATTCGTCCATGTTGAACACCTGGTCGTCAGTGAACTGCCCTTCCTCCATAACCTCACGTAAGAACGGAGGAAAATCTCTAGCCGCCACACGGTCAGCACTCGCTTCTTCACCACCAATGTTGATGTTGGTGATATTGTTCCTCCTCTTAAACCTATGCAGCCAACCAGAGGAAGCATTGAAGGGTTTGGGCTCTGCAATTCCCATCTTACGTGACACTGCTGCGTACAGTTCACGTGCGTACTCTTGAACAGATCGCGTGTCCACCGCCATGTTGCGTCGCGCCTGACGAATCAAATAACTCGCCAGCAAATTTTCCACCTCTAGCAGCACCTTGTTCTGGCAATACTTGATCATTGAGGCACCTGCAGACTTTGTGATTCTCATGTGCTCTTTGATCTTGGCTACATCCTTCTTAATAGTACGAATCGTAGATTCGTTGACTCCATGCTGGCGCGCGAGATCAGCTTGACGTGTTCCTTTCTCCAAATCTTGAATTATCTGGTATTTCACTTTGTAGCTTAGGGAACGTCGTATCTTCTTTGGCTTAGGGCGGCTGGGTCCAGGTAAGGAAAGGTTTCTCTCTGGTGGCGGTGGTCCGGCGGAAGCCATTTCACAGAACAATGGATGCACGTATACACGGTGTGGTCTGGAGGGATGAAACTGCCGTGGTTAGGTCAAGCGTCGTCTTTCCTCCCTCCCTCCCGCGGGTGGACACATCATATTACTTTAAACCAATTACAGCTAGCAGCGGAGGGAGGTAAGGATGCATGGCCAATCACAGTCCGATACGTCATATGACGTCACTGATAACGCAACAGAGACATGCACTGCGCAACCTTACCGCGCGGCTTGCCCAGGCGGGAGCAGGCGGGAGGGGCGAATCTAAAAATAGCATCGAGCCAGACACTCTTCACTTATATGGGTAGATGAACCGTGGAAAGTGAAAGTTCGGTTCTGGCGAGGCACCGCATAAATGAGAAATCGCGGAAAGTGAAACTGCGTAAAGCGGGGTAATACTGTACTGTATAATTTAGGAATGTATTGGCATAAATTGACTTGAAATTAACCATGAGTTTGTTCAGTAATGCATCACTTAATCATTATTTCTTTTTCAAGAAGTTTACCACATACAACAATCTCATGACTTAATCCCTTCGCTCTGGGGTCATTGGAACTTGTGAGTGTGATTTCTGGGGGTAATGCACCAAAGTCTCATCTGATGCTCTCCTCTTCTCTTCTCTTCTTCGATCTAATTTCCTCTCCTCCGTTTCCTCTTCCACTGAGCTAGGTAAAACTTTTACACCTCCCTCTATATAAAATAATTAAGTACTGTATACCCGTACATTTGACAGTAGAGACACATATGCCCTTATTTTTTTTCCTTAAGTATAGTGATATGGCACATTGGAGAGGTAGGGTAAGGCGGGGTAGTGGGAGGGGAAAGACTGAGTTGAAGGGAGAGGAGGGGAAGAGAGGTGTGGAGTGGGGAAAACATATGTTGACTTTAAATATACTGCACACCCAGACCAGTTAATTCAGGTAAATCCATGTGTACAGGAATAGCTTTTACATAGAATAAAGAGACAACAACTGAAATATAATGTCTGTCTTTTTACAGATCTTCACTGACAGATATACAATTTTATCCCAATGAGTGAGGCAAATTATTTCCTGCTGCTGCTAAGGATAGAAAATACAAAGTAAGTTTTCAATAAAAATCATTATTTATTGTTGTTTATACACTGGAGTACAAAATATTTATCACTCGTGCTATCATTTAATTAGTCAAGGCCTGTGTTAAGATCTGCAGTCACAGCTACCATGTGAGGTTCATATGCCCTGCACCTCCACCAACCTTAGCTTGCACTCGTACAAATTCTTACTCTATTTTGTCCTTACTTCATCAGCTGCACATTGATAAACTGTTATGGTAATTTAAGCAATGTTAATTTTGTCATGTCAACATCAGTGTGGTCATGGTTAACATTGCTTCATTTATCCTTGACATTTTGTGGACTGATCATTTGCTTTTTATAATCAGACTCCTGAGCGTGACTGCACGTGAACGGTCACTCGATGCTCGTCTCCACTCTTGGTAGGAGGCGCACTCATGTTTTCCCATGCACCACAAGGCTTAGTCATCAGATTCACATTTCACCATGGAGCAGACACACTCACACTGGATTACTCTCATTACACAACTCATTTGAAATAGTTACACTTTATCAGAGTCAAAATATCAGATTAAGGAACAAGAGAATATCCCATAGCTATACTGTACTGTATGTCTGTAGCCTAAAGATAATTTTAAGTAGTGTAGTCATCTTATGGGACTAAGTCTCACTAACTTCCCCTAACAACTTATCAATACACCTGCTATTACCTGGTATTTCTAGTATACCATCATGTTTACTATTTTTCTAGAGTAGATTATCATCGTACAGTTTCTTAAATTTAAAATACTGATTAAAGGAGCAAACAAGTAAATTGGTTATCTTTAATACAACTCTATCATTTATTGACTACATATTCTAAATCAAGGAAATTGTCATAATTATATCAATATGTTTTACACTATATATGTAAAATTACTCTCACAACAAATAGTTCAGAATCACAGTTCTGCTTTATTTTTTTTATTTTTTGTAATATCACAAATATACAGTACAGGCAGTCCATGATTTATGAAGATCCGGTCTATGAAAAACAAAGCTATGAAAAAAATCCCAGTTTTTAAATTACATAAGAAAAATATGAAGTTTCAAAATTTTATAGTTTTCCATAATTATTTTGCAGTATTGGAAGATGCTGAGATGCTGACACAGGCATCTCAGGTCTTTCTGTACCGTACCTGGTGAGTTTATAAAGACAATTAAACTGAAAATATACAGTATTGTATTGTACTGTATTTAGTGTGGGTAACTAAGCTAATAATAACATACTGTACCGTATTATATGGCATATAAGACGTACCCCCAATTTCAGCAGGGAATATTTTGGAAATACTTTTTAATATAGTTAAGCATTTAATATCTACTCCTACAAATATGGAACATGATATAATAAGTCTGTATAAATGAAATAAATTTTCAATGATAATTCTGGTAGGTAAACCTAATACGTAGCTTAGTGTTCTAAAGGTGAGGTTAAAATACTGTAAACTCAACATGGTAGCACCGTCCTTGTTGATATTTTGTTACCAAGTTGTTGTTGTTTTGATCGGTACTCATTGTACCACAGTAAGATGTCAATACTACGGTGATGGACGTCGGTGTTATTAATCATCATCATATCAAGTTTTTGCGCTAGACAAAAATTTGAGTAATCATTTAGTACATTATTTTGAGTACATGTACAGTACAGCTTTACCCTCAGGGCAGTGTAGCGTGCCCAGAGAAACATTAGGCGCAAAATTTTAAATATGATGCTCCAGATTGACTCGCGCAAAATAGGAAAGATTCACTTAAAATTATAACATTGTCCTTAATTGTGGGTGTCTCTTTAAATCAATAATCTTAAATTGAATCACTTTAAATCGACGTTCTACTGTACACCTATTGTTTTAGTTATCATGGCTCACAGGATCACTGGGCGAAGCAGTGGCAAGTCACCGACTCTTTAAGTATTTTGACTGGCAATGTTGATGTGCTTAGTATCTCAGAGTTTGATTTGATGTCAGTGGAAAGAATAAAATGTTAAATACGTAGATAAGTTTAGCATTTCTTGTTTAAATAAAACTTCATTAAAAATCAAATCCAGTGAAAGCAAAACATCCCAAAATGTTGTACACACAGTGCAGTAGACTTATTCTTGATACATCACTAATGTACAACCATATGACTTGGCTGGGTCTCACAGTCTCTTACTACTGTACATAACAATTAGTGGCACAGTTTCGAGCACTGTGAGTTCTCATAAGTGTAAAATTATTACTGTACTGCTTGCAATTCACTTACTATGTTTATTACTGGCTTGTAATAATTTTTTCCGCCAGTTTAAGAATTATCTTCTTTTTCTTTAGGAACATATCACAACTTTTATGGTGGGAAAATGGGATTGAATTTACGGAAAATGAATTCTCTTAAATCAGGGACTGCCTGTACAGTACTTATTTTATTTTACAAATCTTTTTAAGTTCTTTGGAAATATTTTTTTTATTTGATTAGTACATGTATGTAATTATAGATAGATATATACCCCCTGCATATAATTTTCATTAAAACACATAAAATAATATCTGATAATATTCGTGTGTCAAAATTTTAACACTAGTGCACAGAATATTCCTTTAAGAATAAAACTGTGAAAAATAAACTTAAAGAAATCAAGCATGACAGCAGTATGTTAAGATGAATGTTAATATTTCATCTGGAGAATGAGTCTCAAAGAATGCTGTATCGTGCTATCATTAGAATAAATAGTTAAAATTCCATAAATAAGTAACAAACACTTCAGCTATATACCCCAGTAAGTCATTTACCGGTAAGTTGTTTAAATTAACATGTCCACAACAGACTACAAAAATGTGCAATTGCAGAATTATGAGCAGGAAATGTCATGGTCAAATTAACAGCAACATTGTTGATTTTCATGTATAATTAATACAATAATTACCCCATAAAACCTTTGATTCACCATGACCCATCTTCAATTGTGCTAAAGTTGCAAACACAGTCATGTACTCTGCAAGTCACAAAACGAATTTTTTTTCAATAAATGAAAATGATCCTTATACCCAGCTATGTAAAAGCAGTCATAATTCTTCATTAACACAATAATTAATGTAATTATCATTAACATATGTATGTCAGGTAATATACGGTGTTCTCGACTATGAGATATTCGGAAGTTGTCAAAATGGTTTTCGACTATAGATGAAGGGTAAACTAGTATCTACTTCTACAAGTAGGGTTGTGTATTTAATATTTCAAAGCCTGTCCTTTAAACTTCATTAGCACCTAACATAAAATTTCTCATGATTTTACTGAGTGATGGATGAGCTGCACTAAATAAGCATTATCAGAAGACAGAGAAGCTTGTCTGCAGTGTACAAATATAAAATGATATACAGGTATGTGAGGAGTTACTGAAATATGATCGATTAAAAATTGAAATATAAAAAGTTAAATTTGTTCATAATAAATGTCTTAGAATGTTGGGATATGGCATCTGTTCTCCCAGGGAAGCTGAGGACCCACACTACAGATGTTGAAGAAAAGTCAGTTGCAATGACAGAATGCTAGTGAACTTTAGGGGGCAGCCCTGTAAATGTTAATAACAATACCCTTATGTTTTCTGACCAGTACTGTTGCTATTCCATAGTAACATGAAAAGTGTACATTCATAACATTATATCAGTTTAGATTTTAAGGTTATGTATATAATATGTCTCTTTTATATTCCTTTGTTCGCATTTCAGTTAATTCATAATTTGATTGCATCGTAATCACATAAAGTGGCAATTCTTATGAATTTACCTTGTGCTATTGATGAAATGATATTGTAATATAAATATGACTTTAGCAATAACATACAATAATAAGGTATCCTTAAAAACTGCAAAAAAGCTTCGTTTCATAGAAATTATGGATTATTCCCTGTAGAAATGGTTTCAAAGGAAGCTGACATTTTAATGAGTCTGCCATGTGACTGTTCAATAAAAAAGTTCAAAGTACAGTATATCGACGGTGAAATGTGTCACTATTGATGGTTCAACTCACTTCACAACCTGGTTGATGTTTTAACAATGTAAATCTAACGCAAGAAACATCTGAGGCAGTTATATCTTTTTAGCATGATTTTCCCTAATCTAATCATACAAATTTTAACTTTGGCATTTGGACAGAAATACCCTGTACAACACATCAATATACTGTATCTGAATTTTCTCTACACTGGAAGATGAGATGATTTTACTACATGTTTGTCAACTGAAGAATTTTAACACAATAACTCAGATCTGTGGGCAGAATGACAAAATTCTTGAAAAAAGAAATGTTGTACAGGATCTTTCCATGGACTCCCTCACTTGCCATCAATAACATTACTGTTTTACAGTTTCCCACCAAATTATTTTTGTATACAACTGTACAGTTCTGTAGTAATTTCAGTTGTTCATACTTACAAAGACTAACATTACAGATCCTTAATACAAAATATTAGTGTGAATTATGATGATGACTTCCAATACAAATGCATCTTAACTTATATCTGCTGGTGTGTGTGCTGCCTCTCACTGTGTAAACAGTCAGTGTAAATTACATGTTGAAGTTTGTTCAATTATTACTGTACTTTTGTGGTTCACTCCATCTTGTGATGGCTGTTGATTAAACAAATATTGTGAATTGTCTTTGAACTCACAGGCGACAAGGGAAATCATAATGTGATTTTGAGCTTCATAAAAAAGTGCTTGTGAAAAATAAGTACACTTTTCTAAGTATTACTTACTCCAAGAGCAGGTCTTACAAAAGCTTTGCCATACTGTGGCTAATAGTCATGATATAACTTGGATAACAAAATAACCTATGCTCTCAAAAAATGGTGTTCCCTCATTTTTTCTTAAGTATCATCATTTTACCCACCATACCTCTGTGATTATAATTTTCAAATTAACTAAACATTGTTTATATGTTTTGTGATTATTTTGTATAATAAAAAAGGCATGTGATGACCATTTTGATGTCAAATACCATTTATGTGTTTGATATGGGCATAAACAAAAGGATATTTATTGAGAGAACCATTAACAATGTAGGTCACAGTTCTGTACCAAGCCAGGAAACTACTTCAAGGTTGACTCTCTGCCCTGCTTGTTTCAAAAGGCTTACAGCAGATGCATGACGAACTAGTTCCAGTGAGTGACCATCGACTGAGAGCAGTCGATCACCACAACGCAGTTTGCCCTCAAGTGCAGCTGGGGACGACTGAACCACGAAGAGGACGTGGATGGGTTCAGCACCACGCTGGGGGTCAGACCCGCCAACTATGCTGAAGCCAAGGGAAGCACCAGGAGCCCGGTGAAGCACAACGCTCTTAGATATATGCAGGGAACGTGGCAGCTTTTGCCAGTACAGCCAAGATGGTACAAAGTTAGCAGAACCTACAGATGTCTCAGGACCATCCAGTAGAGACAGTGTAACACCTGCCAGCTCTGCTGTCGCTTTCAAAAGTGCTACTGCTTGTCCATGGGTCAGCCCCAGCAGTGACTGCCCATTAACTGACAGCAACACATCCCCTTTCTGTAGAGGATAAATGTAAATTAGTAAAGTAATTATGAAAAAAAAACTATATTATTCATGTGATATAAACACACACACACACCATCCAGTATATGATAATATATTTTGCCAAAGAGAACCTAAAGGTTTAAAGGGAAAATACTGAGTGGGTAACACAATACAATACCTTATAATCCCTACACTGTGCAGGATATAAATTCTTATTACTGATGTAAAATAGACCACTAATGTCTGAGCAACACTAACAACCTTTTGATCTGATCATCTTTAACTCTTCAAAAACAGCCGTACTGTACTGTACTGTACAGTGCAGTGCAGTATATTCCTTAATGGTAGACATTAACAATAATCAGCCAAGGCCTAACCTTCCTCAAGGCTCCTTTATGGTGTGATCCAAACTTAACCTGAAGCTCTAATTACCTTAATGTTGCGACATCTACCAACAGGTCCCTGAGGATTGATATTTGCAATGTAGATGGGTGTGTCGCCCTCATTGCTGGTGACACCCCCACCAATCCTCATCCCCAGGCTTTCCCTTACACTCTGAAAACATGAGCCAACAAATACTGTAAGTACACTTGTACAGTCTTGTGTTTTGTTGGTACACCACTGTAAACCTACTAACACTAGGTATAATGAAGTCTTCTTTTCATTACATAATTTTGACATGTCTATTAAAAAAGTTATGTAGTGCACAGTACTGTATATGGTGGTTTTCTTGGGGTTAAAATATTTGTAAGTGATTTTCATATTTTCAAGACTTAAGGAAAGGTTATTTTTCCAGTCACAACTTCGAGTGAGTTTTCTTCAATTTATATTAATACAGGTTGTACCTCTCTAGTCCGGCATTCTGTGGTACGAAAACTCTCGTGGTCCGGAACGATTTTAGTTTGCCCATGGAGAAAATTAATTTGAGTCTGGTACTTTAGATGTTTGGCTAAATTTTGCCTTATTTACCCTACTTTTTGGGCGAATTACTACCTGTAATAAAGCAACATCCTAATAAACCAACGAATATAACAGATAAAGTTAAATAAAAACTAAAAACAACACAGAAAAAGTTCTTATGTTCTACAGCTTCAGCTAGTGTTGAACCTGATGGCTTGGCAACTTCGTCATCCGAGTAAAAACACACACACAACAACATTGGCTGTCCTTATGTTTTCAACTTTACCACCACTGGTGGGTAGAATTTATGTTTTAAATTCAGAAACATGAATTAAAGTATATATGAACAGTAATAAGTGTTGCTTTCATATTCTTATGTAGAGTAATGACGATATGTTTTCACATGTGTGCACTTACAGACGCGATCTCACTTTTTTCTTTACCATTAATGTTTAGCTACTTATATTGTTCCATTTATTAATATTAAATAACATTACTTAAAACAACCATATTAATTTTTTATATTAATTTTACTACAACTACAACCAGGGTCTTATTTTCTTCAGTTTTATATGTAGAACCAGTCAGTCACTGGTTTTGTAAACAACGAAAACAATACCGTCTCGTCTCCTTGTGTGTTTTAATGTTCTACTTATTATTAATGAATTGTATTGTTCATTTTGCACACATAAACATTAATTCAATCAAAAAGACACTCAGTAATAAACATTAATGAGTCTTTTGTACATAAGAGAAATGACGCTGTTTACACGATTATGCACGTCTGAACGTTGGTGGGCCGCTCAAACCCGTCGAAGTTTGAGTTTCTGCCGTCGAAATTTTAAATTGTGTTTTTTTTTTTTGTGTCCAAATAATAAACGTCAAATTAAAAACTTGCGAAATTTGAGAACCTAATGTACAACATTTAACCCTTCAATATGTTTTCAAAGAGACCACGAAGCAGTGAAAGTGGTGCTAGTGCTTCCAAGTGTAAGCACAAGTCACTATCTATCCAGAAAAAGGGTGAATTTCCATGGTCCGGCACCGGTCAGGTCGCAAGGTTGCCGGACTGGAGAGGTACAACCTGTATACCAAATTTCCTTGAAATTTTGCATTTCTTTGGTGGCACTAAATGTAGAAAACAAAATCTAATTCAAGAACATATGAAAGCTGGATACAGTACAAAAAAAAAGTGAAATTTAATTATCTGACAAGTGTGGGCACAATCCCTGAAGTCTCAAACTACAGTAGTAAGTGAACTGACTGTCTAGTTAGGCTATGTAAGTTTGGTAATACAATACTGTACTGTATACAGATTTCCTCCCAGATATATGTTCACAGTAAATGTTATTTGTGACACATGTGTAGCTTATCTTTACACTGTTTTGTCCTTTTTGAACAGTCTAAGGAAGGAAAAATAAGGGATGCAGCAAGTTGTTACCAAACAAATTATACATTAAATTGGGAAACGGTGTTAGCTGGAAAGACAATTTGAAATTGTTCTCAGGGATGCTTTCAGAGGTACAGTACAGTATACTGTAAAGTTGATAAAATGCAAGTACAGTCGAGGGTTGAACCCCGGCCCTCATTGGGGGGCAGCCCTCCCTCAAGAGGCTAATATTCTGTATGAAATATAAAAGACATCTACTGTCTATGGCTTATGGTTCTTGAATTACAGTCAACATTAAATTCATTAGAAAACTGATAACAAAGTTAAATCTTGCACCTTCACTTGCAGTGTACACGTTATCATGTTATGCTTTGTTGATGCATATTTCACATATTGTTCTGCAAGCATTATACCTATATGCTTTATCATATACAACATGTATTAGGATACTGGTGACTGATAGTGCTCATGTGTTACTGTTCATCATTATAACACCAACTACTGTACTGCCCACATACATTAAGTTATGCTGGCATAAATTTACTCACTTTTGTTCACATTTAACAAAGCTTTTGAAAACTGTGGTGTGATGTAAAGGTCTGTAAATGTTTTATACAAGAGGATGGGACGTATGTTAGGCACTGCTCCATCACACACGGGCAAATATCTTCAGTAATAATTTGATGCAGTTTACATTCACAGTCAGGTGGAGTTGATAAGGTATAACTAATTTGAGTAAAACTGTTGTGTTTACAGAAGAGCCCAGATATAACTTAACAAACTCCAAGCAAGTGTAGGTATGATGTTCTTTAAGTAGTCCTTGCTAAATATGAAGTGTCAGCCTAATATACAGGTATTCTTAAACCTACCAGTACCTAACCCACCCTAATTCAGCCTAGTGCAGTATTAGACAGTCCACCCAATAAAAATGTCTTGGGTATGCTATAACGAATCTAATTGGTTCTAGAACGTTGTTTGTTATAGCATTCGTTCGTTATAGGATTAATCCGTTCCAGGCCCCCAAATACAACCACTTAACACTGAAAAATATAATATAAAATTGTAAAAAAGTGCATAAATATGCATCTAAACCCCTGAAATAAAGAATATCACTAATACTTGTAATAAAAAAAACAATAAATTAGTAAAAAAAAAAAAAAAAAATTCGTTGTAGGAGTTTCGTTCGTTATAGCATTCTCCATTTTATAGGTAAAACCATTCATTATAGGAATATTCGTAGTAGAATCCATTCATTATAGCATACCCCATTACAGGTATATGTTTTAGTTGTATACATGCAGATATGTTATGCCATTTAGCAGCTTAGAGCACCTCTCACTTATGACATAGAATTTGTCACACTATAAAAATACAATATAACAAGAACTGGGAGGTCATATAATTTATTTAGAAATTAATCTGCTTTAAAGATCTTGGGACCCAGATATTTAGAGTTGTAGTTCAAGTTACTTATGAGTGACTTGCTACCTCTGTCTGCCTGTTACCTACTGGTATCTGTTGTAAACCATAATATATTTTACTGAACTGGTTAAGCATTATTATTATATACTTCACATCAGCTCAGTCTTACCTTTTTAATAGTAACATTCTTTTGATGAAGTTGATTATTTTCTGAGTGAATTAAACGCTTGAGTCCCGCCACAATATCGTGAGAATCATCGGGTGAGCGGGCACCTCGTGGTGTGGCGGGCAATGAGGTGGAATTGTGAAGAAGATTGTGATCTATTGGTGGTGGATGTTGCTCATGAAGGCCCTGGTCATGAGTAGCATCAACCGGTAGTTGGTGATTGTAATGGTGCGTATCAATGGATGTCGAGTGCCGATGGTGATGGGCTGGAGGCTGATGGTGATGATGATGATGACTGGATTCTGTGTCATCGGTGTCAGAGGTGCAGTACCCAGGAGAGGAAGTAGCAGGTGAGCCACCTCTTGAGGGAGACCCAACTCCACCACCAGTCTCAGAAGGCAAACGGGTGCTGGGCGAAGACATCATGGATGACACAAGACTGTGGTCACTCAGAGAATCACAGGAAGCAGATCGTCCATACTCCATGGCACCACAGCCACTGTCACTTGCACTTCTGTGGTCTGTAGAGCCTTGAAACTCACTCTCAGCAGCTGAATTGTTGCGCCAGTGGTGTGTAGGGAAGCTTGTGTATTCAGGAGAGTGTGCAGCTGTGTCAGAACCTGACACGAAGGCAACAGCAGGACCTCGACTTACTACAAGGCCTACATGTGTATGACTCTGCTGTATGAGGCGAGAGGCGTGGTCAAGGCGGGCATAACGCACGTCGGCACCGTTGATGGCCAGGATACGGTCGTGTGAGTGGAGGCGGCCATCCTGAGCAGCCACAGAGCCCTCCAGCACCTCCATGACGAAGATGCCAGGCTCGGTGCGGCGCCCTCCCAACTTCAGACCCAACTGTCTGCTGCTCTCCTTGCATAAAGTTACCGCCACCATCTCTCCTGAAATGGTTTATAAGTGTGAGTTAACGTAGATTAGGAATGAACTTTTGCAGCTGTACAATAATTCCTTTAATGGTTACTGCTAGAAACTAGTTAAAGTATGAAAATACAGTTCCGTAAAATTAAAATTATAAAGTAACTGCTAAAACTATGACCTATATACAGTATGTTGAACACTGTACAGAGTAGATAATGGGTAGTCAAATTTGCTTTGCATATTGTACTTTTATTGCCTGATTTAATTAATGTTATAAAAATTAGATTAAAATAATTTTTGAAGAGAAATTAGTGTGAACTTTATGATGAAATTTTGTTTTTCATTACTTTATAACATAATGGAAAACCATTATACAGTACTATACAAATTAACATAGCAGTTTTTGTGAAGATATTCTACTTACATACAGTACAGAGATATACATATCAGGGTATTACATTAAAACTACAAGGAACAAGTATGTGTAACTCTCTAAGTAAGGTTACATGTCAATACTGTACTATCAAAAAGCTACAAGTAGGTCCCATGTTCCAAATGAATAAATAGTACTGTACAAACATTTTTGGAACCTGCCTTGCTTCCAACGACCTTCATATTTCAGTGATCTGTTAATATGATAGGCTTTATATTTTGCCAGAGTATTGGAAGAAAAGAGTTGTAGACATCCTCAAGTCCTTGTGGCCCCAGGAATAGGGGAAGCTATTACAGTCACCATAGATTATGGAACAAGTAGAATTTCAGCACCAGTGAAAGATTATAACACCATCAAGATTAAATGTTACTTCTAATGTAAATTTTCTTGCAATGTGTAATATTTTATACACTGTTCACGTATATTAAGCACTGAGACTCGCATCAATCCTACAATGAAAGAATCCCAGTCAATTGAAAGAATACAGTGATGCCAATGTCATGCAAACTACAGTACTGCATTCATATTGAAGTTGAGAAATTTTCTTTGCTGTAAGTGGGAGACGAGGTCTGCTGTGTTGAGTAAAGTAATTAAGTAGTGTAGTGTTAAGGTAAGAAGGATGGATGATAACCACTGACCTTGATGATGTGGGGGTGCATTTGATGACTGAGGCGAGGCTGCACGGTACGCCTCGATCCTCTCCCTATACACCCCGAGCCTGAGCACAGTCTGGGGCCGCCTCAGCGCCTGGCACACCACCTGGTGAGTGGCCGAGGTCATGTCCACACCGTCCACCTCAATGATCTGGTCACCAGGCTGTAGGCGGCCATCCTGGGCCACTAACCCATCCGGGAACACCTCCTGGACCACCACACAACGCTGTCGATGAACCAATTACTTGCCTTATTATATATCCACTAATTATCTACATAGTAATTCTAATATTCTGACTCGAGATTTATAATTACTGATAGCCTTGAAATTTGATAACCTGTTGTACACAATACACTTCACAAAGGTACCAACCAATTCTTACTTTTGTACTATCTGATACTCTATGTATGCTGTATTGTACATTGTCATTTTCGACATATTAGCTGCCATATATGTACTGTATTTGACAAATTAACATGTACCTGTACTGTACTACAATTTTCAGTATTAATCATTCATCCCAACTCGTCATATTTGTGTTCATTATTTTTACTAACTACTGTACAGACATATATATTATTCAGTGTGTTGTTATGTTATTTATGCCAAAACTAACTATTATATTGCTTGTGTCCTTTGGCTCTTCAAGTATGACTTGCAGTTGAATTTTTTCTGTTCTTAAACTGTACTGTACAGGCAATCCCCGCGATACTGAATCCTGGGTTATGGAAACTCGCCCATATGGAATTTTGAAATTATGACCCAAAATTTGCAATACAGACCCAAAACTCACCCTTATGGAATTTTGATAATTTGTAAAAGTTTCAAACATAAAAATCACGATATACTACAGTAAAATAAAGAACTTTACCGAAATTATAAAATATATTTCGTGTGCACTCTTGGTGGCAGCTACAATACGGTTGGAGGGCGGCCCACCTTCCCAGCAGTCTCCACAATAATGGCACTGCTCAGTTTGAATTCTTTCCCCAGTTTGTGTTCATTTATGTATCTGTGTACCCTTATAAGTAGGTAACTCCCAGTAACTCCAATTGCACCACCTCACCTCATCACCTTATGCAGCACTCAACATCGTCTGGTGAGTCAAATTCAAGTGTGTGCATATACGTCTTGTCATGTTACATCATAAATGAATCATTGCATGTGTCTATTTTCATTCATATATGAGCTTCTGTTTCGTTTTGGGGATGCAAAAAATTTCCATAGGAATACATCTCGACTTATATAATGGCAATCAATGGTATTTTTTTTTCGCATTATGGAATTTTGCATTGGGGAAAGATATTCAGGAACAGAACCCTTCCATAACCCAGGGATTGCCTGTATACAAGTAACAGGTGTGCAGTAGTATTAAAGAAGAAAAGTCCTCATTCGCAACCAGTTACATTGGACAATTATTAGTCTAACAAATACTGTACTCCACATTATAACCACAAATAGAGTGACTTCATAAATATATAAAATGCATCCAATTACAGGAAAACAAAATGTTGAGATAACAATAAAAACTAAACATTACAGTAGATGGCATGAGTTACGAAATGTTGAGAACACGAAAAACTGAAGCATTCTTACCAAGGGGGTGTCAGCACCGCCGACAATGGTGATGCCGAGAGCTGTATGACCCCGTGGGATTTCAATGTGTGAGATTTCCCCTTCCAAGATGGGCAGCCGGGTGATGCCTGTAAAGAAACACAAGCTATTTATTACTACAGTATTGTGAGAACAAATGTTGACAACTATCACCAAGGGAACATGGGCAAACAACTACTACCTAGCAAACTAGCCGGTCGTCACCACCAAGGTAACTAGACCACTGTATCACCACCGTTGTCTCCGTAACATTGATGCTACAACACTTATTCTGGAGAATATGTTTTTTTTTTTTTAACTAATACTAAGTGGGGTATGCTATAACGAACGGATCCTACTACGAATATTCCTATAACGAACGGTTTTACCTATAAAATTGAGAATGCTATAACGAACGCAACTCCTACAATGAACGCGGATGAATACGGGACTATTTCGCCTGGCGCATGAATATTGTTGTACCGCGACCCACAACAAGAGCGTCAGGCGCCATCTTTGTCTCATTGTGTAGCCAGTGCACCACTGTTATTGTTGAAATTTCGTCTTTGATGTGGAAATTCGCGTTATTTGTATAACTATTTTGTTATACATGTATACAATTGTAACAATGAATCGTCCAAAGCGAGTGAGAAAGCTAATAACCCTTGAAACTAATTAAGAAATTATAAAGAAACGTGAGAATGGAAGAAGCATTGCGAAACTTAGTGATGTATGGGATGGCTAAATCGACTATATGTACGATTTTGAAGAATAAAGAGAAGTTAAAAACTGTGCAAGTGGCTAAGGGAATCTTTAGACTTAGCAAAGCAAGGTGTAATGTGATTGAAGAGATGGAAAATTTACTCTTAGTGTGGATAAAGGAGAAAGAAATGGCAGGTGGTAACATTAGTGAAGCTATAATTTGCGAGAAGGCTAAACAATTGTTTGAGGACCTTAAAGCCAAGACTCCCAGTGGAAGTGATAGTGCTGTGCCAGTGTTTAGGGGTACCTGCATGCTGAATAACACTAAGGTAAGATAAAGTACCTTATTTTTTACATTTTTCACAGAATTTTTTCAGTGTTGAGTGGTTGTATTTGGGGGCCTGGAACGGATTAATCCTATAACGAATGAGGTTCTGGAACCAATTACGTTCGTTATAGCATACCCCACTGTAATATGAAGTGGTTATTTGTCCAGTCACGGATATTTGGTAACCGAACAATCACTTCAGTATTTAGTATTCCTTTAACTTGTGTAATCCTTGTTCCAATTTTTTATATTGTTTGCCAGCATGTTGTTTCTTTGTTTCTGTGTGTCTGTCTATTTATTGGCCGATCAGTCGCAAAGAGTACAGGATGAAGCAAACTGCCGTAAAGCATGAAGGCTGTTGCTGGTATTGCCCTGACTGCATAGTCAAGGTGAATGAGGCGATTGCAAGCCATAGGGGAACGAGTTTCCTGGGGACGAAAATAGATGAAGCTGGAGCCTTGCTGGTTGCCAAACTAGAACAAGTTGGGAAAGAGATCCTTGCTAAGACTGGTTGCTAAGAGGAGTTATGCTGAGGTATTAGCAGGGCCACGGGAGGTGGCAGAGAGTAATGCAGGATCCGAACAGGTTCTAGAGCAGCTAGGGACTCAAGAAGTGTGTCGAAGAAATGAAAATTAACTGACCTACTGTTAGGGGAGAGGAGGGACAATGGGAACGTTTCCAGCACAGGAACAATGTAATAGTTTTTGGAGTCCCTGAGAGCCAGGCAGAGGGAACTGAGAGTAAGATAACACACGATAAGATGCAGTTTAAGAATATTTGTACTGAGGTTCTGAAGATGCTTTCAACCCCTCAGGATGTGAGGAGGCTGGGACAAAAGCATGGGGACAACCCTCGCCCCCCCCAGGATCACACTAGTGAGTGAGGAGGAGAAATGGAAGGTTATTCAGCAGGCAAAAAACTTAGCAAGGAGCGAGGCATTTCGGAGTGTATTCATTCACCCAGATCGCATGGTAATGCAGAGGGAACAGCACAAGAAGCTCCTGCAGGGCTTGAAGCAGAGAAGGGAAGAGTCGTGGAGGAACGGGGACGGGTGTACATAGGTTGTATTCAGGGAGAGGGTGGTGGAAGTAAGTGTGCCGACACAGGGTCAGGGAACAGCAGCGCACCCTCCACCAGCTCTACCCCCCGCCCGGGAGGTGGCACCAGCTCCGCATGGCCTCGGGTTGCTTCCCAACTAAATTCAAAGAGGCCATTATTACCCTAACACCAAAACAAGGAAAGAACCCCGCTGTCCCACTAAACTACAGACCGATCTCCCTCCTCGAAGTACCTGGGAAAATCCTAGAAAAAATCATCACTAACCATCTGAGAGATCACCTGGAAACAACCAACAGAGTCAACTGCAAACAATTCGGGTTCAGGAAAGGGAAGTTCACCACAACAGCGATAGCCCTGGCATGTGAAAACATAGCCAGAGCCGCGGCGAGTGGTAGACAATGTAATCTAACTCTCCGGGATGTAGCGAAGGCATTTGACAAAGTCTGGCACGACGGTCTAAAATATAAGATCCTCCAACTCGGACTTCCCACCAACATTGAAAAGTTGCTTTGCAACTTTCTTGACGACAGAAATGCCAGACTGAGGGAAGGACAACACACAGGAGAGACCTTCCCACTCATGAGCGGAGTCCCTCAGGGCAGCTTCCTCTCCCCCACCCTATATATTATCTACACAAGTGACACCCCGCCTCCCACTAGAATAGTTAACGAAGATATTATGTATGCAGATGACATCACTCAAATAACAACACATCATGGAAAATCGCGAGAGTTACAGGTCGACAACACCAGGCGGGAATTAGAAATGGTAAATATTTACGAAAAACAATGGAAAATCCAAACCAGTCTCCCGAAATTCACAGTGATACCCTTCTGCAGAAGGAAAACCCATCCATTAGTAACCAATAATGCCCAGGTAGAATACAAAAGCAGAGGCACCCTCCTGGGCCTGCAAATATCCACGACAGGTTACTCCCATCATGTCCACACCAGGAAGGAAAAGGCAAGAGAGCTGAGAAGACTATACTGCTTTAAAGCGCTTCCTGAGAAAATAAAACTCCACCTGGTGACATCATTTATCACACCGATATTAACTTACCCAGCAGTACCTCTTCATACTATGAGCACCACTCAAATATTAAAATTACAGGTGGTCCAAAATGAAGCCCTAAGATTCGTCACAGGTGAAAAATACCCCTTCACTAGAACCACAGCCGAGATACATAGAGACCTGAGAATAAAACCCATCAACGAGCAGCTGCACACCCTAGCCAGCAGTCTGGCAATAGATAGAACGATCAGAGCAAGAACTCCTTCAAAGACTCCCACCAGATAACAACAACAACCATACATGGTTCCCAAAAAGTTACCAAATCTCAAAAGGTCCGTTACCACCCCCGATCTACACGGCCAGGCAATAGACAACCTCCCTAGACCAGCATCCGCCAGTGGGGTCGGCGGAATATGAAATAAGGCCCTTAAAACACCCATATATGGGATAGGGTAGGATGTCTAGTGCCTGTACCGACAGACAATAACTAACCCATGACACAACCCTAACACACATTATTGCTGATTGCTGACTGCCATGGTACTGTACATTGTTTCCATCTGCTGCATCACAGCTGTTGAAGTGACTGTAAGATGCTATCATAACTCACCTATATCTCGAAAACTAAGCATTTGCCCAAGAAAATGAATAGAAGTGAAAGTAATCAGTTCAAAAATACCCTCCATAATTACCGAGCTGCTGACGGTCACCGGTCGTATATAAAAGGTCATTGATCTTTAATATACTGTATATCTCTGCAAATACAAGTAAAGTGGGTGTCTTGAATAATGCAGAACACGAAATACACGCACTGGAGCTCATTCGAAATACAATTGTCTCCTTTCAAAGTCAGGAGAGAAAACGTTAAAAGTAGGAAGAAAAGAATATTGTGTCGGTAGTGGAACACTTGTCTAGAATACATAATACCTGCCAGTGAAAAATGTCTTGGAATTAGAAAGATTTTTAATTCTCATTCCTATTACGGTATCGCATCCAGTAATTATTGTGTGGGAAAGTAAGGACAATCATTTATTACTTATACATTCTTAAGTAAGCAAAATATGTGATTGCTAAAGTAGTACAATGATGACTATTGTAGGCTATCCCTTTTGCAATCACGTTTTACTTATTCGAGAATGAATCGCGCTATAGCCATCAAGCAGAACTATAAATTTTGCTTAAAGAGCATGAAAAATGAACACTTTGCAGTGTAATCTTAACGGAAAATCTCAGGCCATTCTTTTTTAAGAACTGTCTGCCGGAGTGTATGCGAGTTCATTAAGACTAAACCTTTATTGGCACAGGTACAGATACATTCTGGAGCCCATATTCCTTGTGCCCAGTACTTGCCAACAGTGGTAGCAGACTGGTGACTAAATAACAGGCTGATTAATGGCCAAGAGAATAAAGTAATGGATTATATCGGTAATACGCAGGAGACAGCTCCTCCAATATGGTCAGAGTTTTGGGAAATCATAATTTTGCGTTAACTTGAACTAATAGTCAATGCCTTTAAAGAGGAATGAGCTCTGGAATGTTTTGTTTGGGTATTATTGCTTATCAATATAATACAGAGCATCAATGGTAGTTATTTATATTACATTCTCTCTAAATGACCACAAGAAGCTGATAAATTGTGTTGAAATTGCAGAAATGTGAATTAGTTTAAAAAAAATAGGTCTATTTTGAAATATTTTAGTTGCATAAAACATGAATTTATATCATGAAATCTGAAGACAATGGGAAAATAGACCTACACCGTGTTATAAATGAACTGAAAATGACACAACTAAGGTCTTTAAAGGCGTACTTTACTTTACCTTTAACAAAGCAAGTAATTACACTAGTCCATGGAAATGAGTAATACAGTCTGAAAGTAATTATTATGTCCGTAAGGTAAAGATGAAGGACTAATATATATTTTTTATAATTATTTTTACTTTTCATACATATTTACTGTACAGTTGTAAAAATTCATCTATAAGTTGGTCGACTATGCATTCAGAAAGC